AATCTTCATGTAATATTGTGCTACTTTAAAACTATTATGTTTGATTTTCAATAAACATTCCTCTCATAGCCGATCTATAAAAATTTCGGTATGGAATATATCTAATAGAGAACTTCATTGACTTTTCAATCGGAGAAAAAAAATCCAAAATACATTGATATTATATTTTTAACCAACACTGTAAATTTATTTTCTTAATATAGTCTGATCCAGTAAATGTAGAATTTTTTGTATTCGATCCGTTAATAAGAATCTATTGTAATTGAGAGTGTCTTTGATAAATATATTGTAAACTGCAAAAATAAAAATCAATTGTAGGAATATATTCATGAAAAATTTACTGCTGAACATGATGATGAAGACAATGAAATTCCATCACGTTCTTCAAATCATCAAAGTGAAATGATCGGTCAAGGTCCATCAAATATAATTGCAACAACAATTAGTAAACGTCTTACACCACCCAATAAAAATCGAGAAGCTGTTCCTATAAGAAAAATACTTTCTCATTGTAAGAATATTTCAACAAAGAAAACAATAGTTTTTAACAAGCAATTAAATTTTAAAGATATTCGACTTCATGGTCGTCGAAATGATATTCCAAAAGATAATGATTTATCTGATAGTTATTCAATTATGTCTGCAGATTCGATAGAACCAAATGATAGTAATGAAGTATTAAAAAAACCTAAAACATTCAATCAATATAGTCCTAGAAGAAACTTTTTAAATATAAAAAATACACCAAAAGCATCATTATTAGATATAGGTGACACAGATGTAAGAGATTTTTTATCCGCTTCACCGACACCAAGTAGAAAACAAGGACATTCGGTAAAAGAAAAACAATGGAAAACGAGCATTATTGTTTTTTATTACATTATGCTCTAATAATATAGATTAGAAGAATTGATTTAACTGAAGAACAATCAATGAAACTTCGTCCAAGTGCATTTCTAAATTTTGAAGAATATGATACATTGGATTTAAGTACATTTATTATAAAACCTGTACGTAATCAAGAATCTTTTGATCAATTATCTGAACTTCGTCTTATTAATATTTGTTTTATTAATATTATTTTAACTGATTATAAAATCAAACAATTACCATTTAAATTACAAACAGTTATTGATTGTTGTGCTGAACAAATTTCAATTACAAATGGTTTATTAACGAAAGTTTTTATGTTTGATAAAGGTCTTAGTCTTTTATGTGCTTTTGGAATGCCTGGATATAAACATCCAGATGGTTCGTTTTTTATTTAAAAAAAAACGTGTTAGTCAGTAAGGAAAAACATATATATATATATATACATTTAATTTCTAGATGCCGAACGAGCGTTAAAATTTGGTTTTCTTATAACTCAAAGATTAGGTAACATCTGAATGAAAAAAAGAATAATATGAAACGAGGAAAATTTTATCTTTTAGAAAAACTAAATTTTGTGGCACGAGTTAGTACTGGAGTTTCTACTGGACAAACATTTTGTGTAAGTATTTCAATGGTCTTTGAAATATGTAGATTACATTTAGAGTCAAAAAAAAACGACTGATGATGGATCGGGTGATCTATCAATTGTTTTTTTTTTAAATATTTGCCTCTTTTAAAGAGAGATTTGGTATTCTAAACATATTCCTGTAGAATTTCAATTGAATCATTGATAACAATAATGACAATCGATAATAATGTTAATAAAATACTTCATTTTATAGTATTGATTTATGAGAAATTCAACCACAAATAAATCGACTATAACATTCTATAGTTTGTTATTTTGCGAAAATTTTATTTTCGGTTCTGCTATATAGAATTAGATTTTATTTAGTATTTATTTAATAATATCAAATACAATATTACACATTTCCATCAGTTTTTCTTGAAATACCTCTTAAACATATAATTTATACTTAATAAATGTAAAGTTATTTGCTGCGATTTGATCCACTCAATGGTTATTTACTACCCAATAAAATGAAATTTCACAAAGACGAACTTTGTTTTTTTTTTGTGAACAGTTAGAATCGAATTGAACCCATTTTGTTTTAGTCATTAAACAGTTGCGTCAACCAAAACTTGAAAAGAAAACAACCTTTGCGCAACATCAAGTTTTCCAAAACACGAATGTTCAACTCAATAAGCTCTTTCGGTCTATATAAGACACTTGAAGTTGCTAGTAAACTTACTTATTGACAAATCAGTTTTAACAGTGAACGTTTTTAGCATTATAATTTTATTCTTTGATGTTTACTATACAAATAGAGATATGCGGAATCAAGTTTTTTTTAGTATCAGCTTTGGCTTTGAGAAAACTATTTCAGAATTTATTTACATTATACCTTCAAAAAAGTTTTAGATTCTAGTGTTTTGATTAATTCAACCGGAACTATCTTTTTTTTTTGGGTCATCTATCCTGAATTTTGCTGTGATTTTCGGAATTTTTTTTCTTGTCGTTCAAGTTCTGGTCATCGGAACCGGCATATATTCTAAAACTAGTTCTGTACATCTCTAGATACCAAAAATAAAACTTATAAAATTCATTGGATAAGAAAACATATAAACTATTTTAGGGTGTGCTAGGACATCCACTTCGATGTGAATATACAGTCATTGGTAGAAAAGTTAATATGGTTAGTTTGATTATGTTATATTTTACTGAATATGATAATGAATTGATTTAGGCTGCTCGTTTAATGGTTAATTATCCTGGTATAGTTTCATGTGATGATGAAACTTATCATAAAGCTCATCTTGAAGAACGTTATTTTGAACTTTTACCAACAGTACCATTAAAAGGTCTTACTGTTTCTACAAGTATGCGTCGATATAAAGGACAAGATGATGGTATTTATTTATTTTTCTATTTCTCTAATGATCTTATTTTTATTTCTATTCTATTTATTATTATAGATCAAAATAATACGAGTGTATTTGTATTTCCAATAATAAATCGTGAAGATGAATGGAATATAATATTAGAATATATTGAAGAAGTCATGAAACATTCTTGTACAACAATTCATTGTATATTTTTAACTGGTTCAACAGGTGTTGGTCGTTCACGTTTACTTGCACATATTAATGAAGAATTAATGTATGATACACAAAATATACGTCGAGTTTCATATAATGCTAGTTTTGAACATGTACAATTATTTGGTTATGCACTTAAACAATTATTTAAAAAATTATTATATACAGAATTACAAGAATCTGATGCACTTGTAAAAGTATTAAAATCACTTTTACCAAGTTAGTTTTACTATTTTTGTTTTATTAGGAAAACAAATGTAAATTTGATTGAATATATTCTAGATCATGAAAAATATTTATATTTATTACGACCATTTTTTGATAAACTTAGTGTTGAAAGTGATAAATTAACAGGAATTTTAAAAAGAAAAATGCTTGAAGAAATTATTCGTGAACTTATTATTAATGCAACAGATCCAACTTATGAAATATTTAATTACCAACCACAACCAACAGTTTTTATTATTGATGATGCTCAATATATCGATAAAGAATCTTGGCAATATCTTAATCTTCTTGGTTTTAAATTCTTTTTTTTTCTTTATTACTTTCTTGAGAAAAAAAACAAGGCTTTCTAAATAGGTTCAGCTCCAACGTCTCTTCTTGTAATGGCAATGAGAGATCCAACATTAAATGATGATGAATTTCATACACGTATGGTTACACGTCGAGATTTACCAACAACAAAACATATTCAACTTATGGGTTTCGATTAATATTATTCAAGAAAACAAAATGAATTGTTGAATAATGTTTTTTATTTTTATTTTTGACTTTATAGGTCTTGATAATCGCTATTTATCTACACTTGCATGTCAAGCTATGTTTGTACAACGTATTCCAAAAGATCTTGAAATATTAATTACACGAAAANCGTTTACGTTCATTATGTTTAATTATGATATGTTCATCATTTGTATTTGTTGCAACAACTTTACCAGTAACTGCATTTATTATTGATTTATTGTCACACAAAGCATCGATTGATCTAATGCGTTGTCGACGTATACAATGGACTATCTATAATATTTTAATGTATTTTAATTATGCAAGTATTCTTAGTTATTGTTTATCCGGTACAGAATTTCGTCATACACTAATTAAAACGATACGTTTTCAAGGAAAACCAAGTTTAGCAACAATGTTACAGACTGATGTAATGAATGCTGTTAATCAACGTTTAACATCAACACCTCAACAATTACGTCAAGTATTTGTAGAATATCAAGATCAAAAACGTTTTCGTTCATCATCTGTTAGTGTGTCACCAGCTCTTAGTCATAAAAAAAATCAACATGCAATGAAAACAACAGCAGTTAAAGGAAAATATTTACAAATTGAACAACCAAATTATCATAATCGCTATAGAAATTCTTGTACAAGCCAAACAAATGGTCTAGGCATTACAAGCTCATCAACAATTCAAAGTTTTCGAAATACAGGAGGCAGACTAAGTTATTCACGAAATAATAAAAATGACAAATCTGCTCATACTGATGATAAAAGTTCTGTACACAGTAAAGTTAGTTTTCAAGATATAAGTCAATAAAAAAAAAACTTGTGCTTCTTTATAATGGTTAAATTATTCTTGTTGTTGTTTTTCATAAAGAGAACTTTTTTTTTTTCATATGTATACTTGACTTTGACATCTCATTAGTATGCAGGCATTTAGTGTTATCATCATCAAATCTTCAATGCGTTGACACAGTCAATCTTCAGACTTCGTTATTCTCATTTGTCACTCAAAACAACGTCATCTCTTAGACTATTATTATATACTCTCAATTTTCTTAACACAAAAAAGATAATGTAAATATATCAACATTCTTTGTTTCTTCATAAGAAACGAAATTTTATTTAGAAATAATCATCAATTAATCAGATAAGAAAGAAATTAATTGATAGAAAGATAAGACAAAACAAATTATGAGACAGATTATTTCTGTTCGAAATGTTTGTAATATAAAGAATAAATTAAAAAGGATAGAAAAATTTTCAAATTCAATATTATTATATTATTGTTGATGATAAATCCTTGTTGTATTCAATTATAATTCTATCTGCACATGTTTGAATTATTTGAAATGCAACGTGCATATCATTTTCTGAAGCATCTTTAGCACATACAACAAAACGAATTATAAGTATATCATTGAGCATTGATGGTATAACATGGATTTGACCTGAATCATTTAAACTTGATAATAATTTTTCAGTCAATTTATTTTCTCCCTAAAACAAAATCATATCCATTCATAGAATTATTACTTTTGTTTTGTTTTTTTATTCATTAGAAAAAAGAAACTCACATACTTTCAAATGAAAACAAACAAGTCCAAATAGAACATTTCCAATTATTTCAAATCGATTATCTATTTTTAATAATTCAGCAAATATTTTTGCCAAACGACAATGCTAAAAATACAGACAAAGAATTAATTTTACTCAATGATTAATCTAGATACCTCTCGTATATAATGACGAAGACCTTCGTTACCATAACTTCGAATAGTAAACCATAATTTAAGTGATCGAAATCCTCGACTTAATGCAATACCCCAATGCTAAATAGATTTTCAATAGTATAAATATAATCTTTATATTTGTAAATATTTACATACACGTAAATCTGTTGCTTTTTCAACATGTTTATGTTGAAGATAAAGTGGATCGACTGACATAGCATTAACTACTGCAAATTTATCACGAACCCTGATATTAGAAAAACAATAAATAAACAAGCTAATTGATAAAAAAAAAATATCTTACCAAAAACATGAACAATCAAAATTCATTAGGAGCCATTTATTTGGATTTGTATTAAATGAATCGACATACTCAAAGAACAAATAATTAACAATTCATATGAAAAACAAAATCGATTTACTTGAAATCCATTTATTAAATAATGAAATTCTTCACAAATAAGTGCAGCACCAGCATAAGCTCCATCAACATGAAACCAAAGTTTTTCACGTTGACAAATTTGTCCAATTTCTTCAAAATTATCAACTGAACAACATGATGTTGTGCCTAATGTACCACATACCTATTTTAATCAAAACAAAAATCAAGAGTTTTGAAATATAATATACTAAAAAAAAAAACAAATTACGAACAAAAAATGGAATTAAACCTTTTTGTTTATCAACTTGTATACATTCATCAAGTGTTTCTCCACGTAATGAATAATGTTCATCAACATCTAATTGACGAACACTTACCATTGTAATTAAACCAGCTTTTTCTACAGATGAATGAGCCTAACGTAAAAAGAAAAAGAAATACAAAAACAAAGACTATAAACATACATCTAAAAATATACACATACAAGTTTTGATGAATAACATACAAGTCTAGATAATATTTGTCCATCTTCGATTAAAGGATTTTCTAATCGATTACTTTTCATTTTTTTAGCCTTTGCTGCTAACATTGCTACTAATATACATTCACTTGCTGAACCCTAAATTGAAAAAATAAAATTTGAATTTAATTAGTAAAAAATCACTTACAAGGAGAACACCACCACCTTCCGATTCACATTTGGTTTCGGTATTCAATGTTTCAGTTTTAGTTTCATTATTATTATTCGAATTAAACGGAAGAAATGCTGTTGGTAAAGTCATCATACGACCAAGCCAATCAAGCATGATTGGTTCAAGTTCAGTACATGCTGGACATGCTGCCCATGAAAAACCAACAATTCCAAGACCTGATGAAAGTAATTCAGCAAGAATTGATGGATAACTATTTCCAGCTAGAAAATAAGCATGAAAACGTGGATGTTGCCAATGCGTTATACCTGGCATTATTGTTCGTTCAACATCTTTCATAATATCATCCCATGATTCACTTTTTTCAGGTGCATTTCTTGGTAACATTGATCGTAAATAACCTGGCTCTACTTCTGGTGTTACACGACGTTCACTATGATTTTAATCAATATAAAAATAAGAAAAAAATTATTTTGATAATTTTCTAACCTAATATTAACAAGATAGTCAGCGATATAATGGATCATTTCTTTACCACGACGACGAAATTCTTCATTATCCATAGCAGGTGTAGTTGAAAAATAGAAAAGAATTGAGAAAGCCACCAATATGCAAACAGATAGAGAATGATGGCCGAATTGCTGTGATAACGAACGGAGACCAATTGATGCATGTTTACATGCATCATTTCGGAAACATGATTGTGCGGGTGCGCTATAATGTTATGTGTTAATGGAGAAAAAAAAGAACGAAAGATTGATTGCCCTGCCATTTAAAATATGATATTGTTTTGGTCTGATTCCGAACATGAGTAGCTTCCGTTAGAGAAGTTTGATTTAACCCCGCGGTTCCTTTTCATATACCGGCTGTGTTCTCACGATGCCCTGAAAATTTTCCGTCCTGCTGTTTTCTTTTTTTTTCTCTTTGTCTTGTGTTTTCTTTTCTTCTTGATCTCTGTAATGAGTCAAACTGCATATACCGTCATGTTTTGCAGAAATGAAACCCATATTAGTTGATGACAGTTCGGTACTGATACAGATTTCAGATAGATGAATATTTCAGTGGACCAGTTATTCATGGTGGAAAGGCATGTCATCAATGTACTTGTAGATCACTAGTCTATTGTATTACTTGTTTTCCGCTGGTATTATATAAACTTATTCAAAGCTTCGATTAGTCTTCATAGTAGCTCATAAACAATGTATAATAAAATTTTGTTAAAAAGTCGACATTTCAAATAACACTATCATTAACGATGGAATCGGTAACGATAGCTAACAACTTCTGTGTTGATAGGCTTTTGGCAAGGACACGACCCGCTTCGATTTCAACTGCGTAGACCAACACCATTATCGATTATCAAAATACCGAGCCGGTTCCATCTCTGGCATGTTTTACCAACAAAAACAATCATAAGATGTACTTTAATGGAAGATTGGCACATCATTGGATAACAGAAAGAAAAAGATAAGCTTATATACACACAATACGTAGACCACCACCACAACAATAACAACAACAACATTATATCTTCTAACAAAAAGATAATGAGTCAGAGAAGCAAAAAAAAAAACGAATAACGAAAACAAAAATATAAGTGTAATATAACAGGTGTTACAGATTAAATGAGACAAAAAATTCATTTTCTTTTGTTGTTTTGGGTCACTTAGATACATTCTAGGAAAGTCATTCTGTAGCTATTTGAAACACACTGTTTACTCTGCAAAATTTGTACGCTTGGTTTTCAAGTAAGATTTTGTTGTTAGAGCAAAATTTAAAGCACTTACACTTACTCAATCATTTAACTGTGCTGGTCAGAAAAGCGGAAATATCATGCAAATCTTTTTAACACGGTTTGCTGAAATTTATAACATGTCAAAAACTTTTCACAACGTTCAACATCTTCTGATGTCTGTTCCAGAACGTCAGCAAAAATGTTTGCAAGAAAAATCTCCGAGTAAATATGAGGAAAACCTGGAAAAAATACATTATGGCAGGATTATGTGATTGGTTTTTTTGAATTCGTCATAACCTAATCGTTTCAATTCTCCAATTTGGCGGTAACACAATTTGTTTTTCAGAATTAAATTCTACATCGAATAGGACAAGATAGATTGCTTCATACATCAAGTTTTGCTTTGATAATCATGTTTTTTTTATCCAAAACCTTTACAAAAATACTACTAAGTGTTTGTTTCCATCCTTTTTCTAATGAACAATAGCGCTAGAAAACTTCAAAGGATCGTCGAAGTAGAATGCACAATATTCTCTATAGATTGATGATAACTGAGGTACGTTTTGAATTGCTCTTGATGAGCAAAGATTTAAATAAATTAGTAGATATCTGCATAAAATCGAAAAGCGCAGGTAAACAATTCAACAAGCATTTATTTTAGAAATTTTTCTCCAACAAGAAAATTTTGTTTCAAAAACAAACACAACAATTTTGTAGACCTGAAAATTGTCTATCAAGCTACTCTGTAGTAATGTTCTAAAAGTATATTGAAACATTCCAACAACAATGGTTTTGCTTCATTTTATCTGCACTCTCCTTAGACTGATATTTTCCAGTAGACTAGTGCGATAATGATGATAACTATAGAGAACAATAACATATAAAAAGATGTGCCCATCAGGCAATCATATGTCATGCCTTATATTTTATACAACACTGAACAGTAATTTTCCGCTTTTATTTTCTTTTTGACATGCGCGATGTGTATCAGAGACTTTAATGATTTTTAAGGTCCAAAGAGGAAATTGAAGAACGAATGCAGCGAGTGATTTTTTGTTTTGATCGTCATGTTACTCAAAGTTACTTTTGAATCAAGGGAAATATATATATATATATATTACTTAAGTATATATTGTTTGTTTTTTTACTTTTGGATAAAGTGATCCGACAAACAAATAGCTACCTGTTACATTTTTTTTTCCATTGTGTATACAGTTTTTCCGATGCAAACATATAAAGAATGTTCGCTTACAATTCCAATATTTTTTTTATTTTTTTTAAACATTTCTCCGATCCAAAAATGCATTAGCATAAGAGAAAACTCTTTTTCTCTTATTTTTTAGTCTTTTATGACCACATACTTTGTTTTCTTTTTTCTAACAACGAGATTCTACTTGAGACAATTTGCAATATGTACAATGATAATTTTTATTGTTATACTTGAAGAACGCATGAAAAATCTGTTAAGTCTTTCTTTTTTATATACAATAGTAAACCCTTCACATATAGTCCATAGAAAACTATTTATTCATTTTCTTTTTTTGCATCTAGTGTTCTTCTTATTGATTGTTGTTAATTGATGAACAACATAATATTTTAAAGAGATGAAAGTTTGCTAACATTTTGGCTATTCTTATGAATCGTGTATACTTCATAGTTGTTATTCATAATTACATTAGATTTTTGCCCGTCTGTGTTTTTTTCTTTTAACGCAGTGTGTAATACAATTCGATGTTTTGATGATGCCTATAAAACAAACTAATATATAGTAGGTCGTTTCAACCGAAGAAATATTTCTTCTACTTGTTTTATTTAATAATCAGATTGTTTGCGTGACATGGTAAAATAAGAGAGCTACCTGACAACGGTCTTAATCGAATCGAATATGTTGTTTTTTCATCACTGTTCTTTTCTTTTTTTTTCCTTCTTAGAACTGATTACAATCAGTTAGTATATTATTAGTTAAATGATTGTTAGCGAACAATGACAATGAATTGTTCACTAAAAGGTGAAATTGCACGTCAAATTGAATGGCATACTTATCCATTCTTACTTGGCCTGGGAACAGTTGGCAATCTTTTATCAATCATTGTTTTAATACGCATGAGACAACATAGTGTTTATCGTTATTTAACATTTATGGCTATTACTGACACTATTGTTCTAAATCTTGGTTTATTACGTGAATTACTTTTATCATCAAGTTTTCATCTTCATGTACAAGGTACATTATTATGTAAACTACATGTTTTTTTCTTCTAGTAAGTTAAATTAACTTTTCTTTATACATACAAAAAAAAATTATTAATCATTTATTTTTCTAGTAATACGTTGCATCTTTCTTCTTGGTTTCGTTGTTGTTTAAATTTAGATCGTTATGTTGCTGTAAAGTTTCCAATATATACATCGAAATGGTGTCGAACACGACAAGCATCAATTAATTCAACTGTTGTCTTCACTGTTGTATCTTTATGTAATATACATTTATTAATATTTGTTAAAGGTGATGATCATATTAAGAATTTAAATGATCTCAATTCTACACTCTCCACTGTTAATCCATTCCAATATCAACGATGTTATTTACATCCACGCTATGTACACTTTTTTGAGCAAATCTATACATGGATTGATATGCTTCTTGTAACAATAATACCTTTTATATTTATTATTTTATGTAATTTAACTGTTATAAATCGTGTATTTCTCGTATCTGGTCCGGGTAAAAAAAATGAAATTGTTAGCCGTTCCAAAGCAACAAATCGTTTACGTTCATTATGTTTAATTATGATATGTTCATCATTTGTATTTGTTGCAACAACTTTACCAGTAACTGCATTTATTATTGATTTATTGTCACACAAAGCATCGATTGATCTAATGCGTTGTCGACGTATACAATGGACTATCTTTAATATTTTAATGTATCTTAATTATGCAAGTACTCTTATTCATTGTTTGTCCGGTACAGAATTTCGTCATGCACTGATGAAAACACTACGTTTTCAAGAAAAACCAAGTTTAGCAACGATGCTACAAACTGATGTAATAAATGCTGTTAAACAACGTTTAACATCAACACCACAACATTTCCGTGAAGTACTTGTGGAATATCATAATCAAAAACATTTTCATTCATCATGTGTTCGTATGTCACCAGCTATCAGTCATAATAAAATTCAACTTATGGTGAGCGCAACAACAGTTAAGGCAAAATATTTACAAATTCAACAACCAGATTATCATGATTATTACAAAACTTCTTGTACAGCTTCAACAAATGGCCTAGGTATTTCTGCTTCACCAACAATGCACAACTTACAAAAGACAGAGTGTGGACCAAGCTATGGATCGATTAATCTAATTGACATACCTGACCATAATAATGATAATAATCCTACCGTGCAGGACAAGATTGTTTTTCATGGTCTGGATCAATAAAAGAAAAAGTTGTGCTTCATTAGAATGGCTAAATTATTCTTGTTGTTGTTATTGTTATAAAGAGAACTTTTTTTTCATATGTATACTTGACTTTGACATCCTATTATATGCAGACATTTAATGCTATCATCACACAATCTTTCAATACGTTGACACAGTCAACCTTTAGACTTTTCTATTCTCATTTGTCACTCAGCAAAGACGCCGTTTGATAGATTGTGATTATTTTTTTTTCTAAATAAATTATCTCCATTCATACGTTTGCTTTTTCTTTATCAAAAGAACTGATATACTTTCAAACGCAAACCAACAAGTCTAAATACAACATCTCCGATTATTTCAAATCGATCATCTGCTTTTAATAATCCAGTAAATATTTTTGCTCAACGACAATGTTAAAAATACAATCATTGAATTTGTTTTAAAAAAAGACTTAATTGATATGCTTCTCATATATAATGGCGAAGACCACTTCAACACAACATAAATGATCGAAATCCTAGATTGAATGCAATACTTCAATAGTAAATATAACCGGTGCGTCAAGAATTTTTCATTATTAGCGCTTAGAAATTATTCTTGCACGATGAAAGATTATTTAATTTTGACTTTTTTTTTTTTGCATTTGAACAAGCAATGTCTAGAGTGCAGAAAAATATTCTATGACACATTGAAGAAAGACCTTCACGCCAGTTTTCGAAGCTTACTTCAAACACGTAACATCATGTTTCACAACAATTTTTTTATTAAACTCTTTAATTTTTCTCCTATTCAGCGAGCACGTTTATATGTTACTATTTTTTGCCTTATAATTGTGTGCATACATCATTAGCTTCAGTAAATTTCTTGCATTCTCATTTGATTTCATTTGCTATACGTTAGAAGAATTTCTTTTCCTTGATGCACAAAGTATGGTTTTACTAATGTTCGTACAGCTTGTAGTACGTAATGAGATTTAGCTGATTTAGCCACAATACGAAATTTTCTTAACAAATGTTTCTTTCATCAAAGAAATCGATTGACGTGCTATACATTGTTTTAAAAGTAAACATCACCAATTACAGCACTCTTTCTTTCATGTATAGATTATTTCGAACATCTTCTAGCGTATAGTGGTAAACATACTATAGATTCTGTTTGAAATTTTTCATATTTTATACTTGGTGATATAGTAGAAGGGAAACTGAAATATTTTTCATCGTTCATTTTCATAAGATAATATCGGAAAACTTAACGATATAAATAGCCCAATGTTTTGGTGCACGCTTCTCCTGACCTTTAACATACTTCGACACTTTCAATATCGTTTGTTTTTTCCTCTATTTTTATGGACGATCACATCTTGATAAATCTTCTCTTCTTTTCATTTGTAAATATTGTTGGATAATTCGATATACAATTTACTTAGTAACAATAATCTTCTTTTTCAAAAACAAGTCTCATATTAGTTTTCAAACTACCACACGCGGTAGCATTATAGAAAGTTGCAACATATTATGTGAGTGCTTCTCAGTTGTCCCTCATGTTAACAACAAACATATGTAACCTTCGTTTTCAAGCTGTTTTCATATGAAACCAAAAAATATCTTACAAACATCATTAGATGTTTTCTGATAATATTTGATGGGATAAAGCTTAACAATCTTATCTAACATTTCTAATTGGACCAATTTTTAATCTTTAATCGAAGCATTTTATTGAGATTGAACGGCATTTTACTCTTTTTTTTCTTAATTATTTTTTTGTTAATAAGAGGCCCCAATTAACTTCATTGAGTTATTTTAAGCATTAATAGATAGATTTGATTGAGATCTATTCGTTAGTATGACGTACCATGTACAAAAACGTCTCTATCTCTTGTCACACGAAGATTGACATGATATTAATATTGAATCATCGAGTAAATGTATACATCTTGGTATATGCTTTGTTCGTCATTTGTTTTTCTAGACAAGCTCTATAGATGATACACCCATTCCTTTGTTTTCTAGATGTTTAGTAAGAAGTTTATTCAACTTCTATTAATGTTGCTCGCCACATGTCGAAGTAACAGTTCGTAAACGTGAAAAAATGGCGAAAAATGATTGCAATCAGTTACTTATTAACAAATACATGATTGCAATGATAAGTTTTTTTTTTTTTATTAGTGAACTGCTTTATCTAAAAAGATGCTTAATAGCACTTTCACGCGTACTATTTATGATCATTGCATCTGTATGCACTCCTCTTTCGTATATCGACTTTGGATATAGTTTCTGATGATAAATTCATATGCAGACATTGTATTTATCTAATAAAACTCTTTTTATAATAATAGAAAGCACAAGCAGGTTACTATCTAGGGTGTCATTCGAGTAATGAAAATGAGCCGTGCATGACAACAAAGAAACTGTAAATGCAAGAGTATACGATCAAAATACGGTCCCCATACTGTGTATGGGTTGTTGACTGAAACAAACCTAAACGGTGCCGTTTGTGTTCCGATAGAAAAACGGTGCATAATCCAAGAGCTGACAGAAAACGCTCTCGTTTAGGATAACAATCACGTTGTTTCAGGCGGTCTCAATGATAGACTTGGATAGAAAATAAGAATGAAAACGTGGATGTTGCCAATGTGTTATATCAGGCATTATCGTTCGTTCAACAACTTTCATAATACTATCTCATGATTGATGTTTTTTTTTAAATGTATTTCGTGGCAGCATTGATCGTTAATAACCTGGTTCTATTTCTGGTGTTACATAACGTTCATTATGATCTTAACCAACCTAAAAATAAGAAAAAATTCATTTTGATAATTTTCTAATTTAATATCTATTATATAGTCAGCAATATAATGAATCATTTTTTGTTTATCACGACGATGAAATTCTCCTTCAGCTGTATCCAGTATGTATGAATTTACTGAATATTGATTCATTTTGATAATAAATCAGCATTGTATATATTACATTTTCCATCAACAGTAAAAAATAAATATCTTTTTAGTACTTAAAATAAACAAATTGTACTTGATACTAAATATGATCATTGCTAACTACACATTATGTGTTATGGTATAACACAATACAAAGCTTTCTCTAATCATTTTTATTTTTAAGAATACAATCTTTTCAACAATGAAAATAGAAAACAATAAGTGTAGGTTTGATGTTATGACTGATTGATATGAGATATAGTCAAGAATGGCTAAAGGGAACCAAGAGGAACATACTCGTATATATAACTATAATTTGCTCGATAGAAAACAATCAATGGATATAATTTTCTAGGAATATAAATGAATGTCAAGTTGCGTCATTTTGTGATTCAAGTATTGAATTAGTTTAAATGATAATATCCTAACATTTATTTTAATCTATATTCAAAAATGAATAGTGTGTAATCAATGTGAGAAAAGACATCAGAACGTCAGAGTTTTTGTTACGGATTGTTCTATCAACTTCATTGATTCTATTCGATATCGAAATCTTTTGTCAACGTTGTATCTTTCACAAAACATATTATTACAAAAAATTTCAGACTTTCTCTATATTTTCTTTGATTTATGCAGCGTTTATACACGTATTCAAAAGATGAAAAAGGTTCATATATTTATATATGTTGAGATCTTTGATTGATCAGAGCGCTTTGCACTTGTGAGAGACAATATATATAAAAACAGATTTGCAAATTTAACCTAAAGGATTATATTAAATTACAATGCAACACTGTCTGATTGCCGTAATAGAGCTTGATGTTGATGATACCCATGGTCAATTNAGGAGTCATTCACTACCTTTCTATATTCGATCATGAAAAAGTCAAATACACAATTCTTCATTCTTTAAATAATTACTTTTTTTGATCATAACAAATTTTTAAAAACTTGTAGAGGGGGCTCAAGCCTCCGTAGAGGGGGCTGAGCCCCCTCTAGCCCCCATCTGGTTACGCCACTACTCTACACGCACACAAAACATGAGCTTGACATACTATATTGTACCGTGAAGTAGTACATTGCCGATTAACAACTATTATTATTGTTTGCATCTGGTTTGATGTGACATAAGTATCGTTCTCGTCGAGTCGATGGATGAAGTTTTATCTCTGGTTTAGTATTTATTATGTTTTCATTGTAGGATAATTTTCAAGTACATTTTTTTCTTCCTCTTGTGTAATTTTTTCTTATACTCATTCTCTTTCAATAGCACTATTTACTATATTATCAAGAATAAATCTATTTTTGGTATTTTTAATAAGTGGCTCATATCTATTCTTCTTTTCTTTCTTTCGTTTTTTTATCTATTCATTGTTTTATTTCTTCATGTCATATTTGTTTCATTATGGCTACTATTTTTTTTAGTGAATTCTCGATATATTTGTTTTATATCGATGTAAGAATTTTTATTGATATTTATTATAAAAAAAATCTTATAAATTCCAGATGAAGTATTTCATAATTAAAATTACCTTTCAAACATAAATTATTCACACAATATTTAAGTTACTACAATCGTAAACATGCTAAGAAAACTTTGATAAGTATATTCTAAGAAGAAGAAGCTCATAAGTTTATATAAGCTACTTTTTGCGAGTTAAATCAAAGAGAGTCGTATTTAAGAGTAAAGTTTTTTTTATTGGAGAATATTATTTCAACAATTATTGAGGCTTAATTGTAAAAAAATTGGTGAAATATATGATATTTAGAGTTTAATTTTATACTACAGTAATTAGTTAGATGATGTTTCTTATAAAGTCAAGAAAAATTACTGCTGAATTTCATGTTTTGAAATGAAAATTATACAAAAAAAGTTGTATAAACAAGCTTGATGTTAAGAGAAACGTGTGTTTACAGTGCTAATTGTTCTAGATATTAATAACAACAAATACAGTTGTTAGAAGATTATGAAAATGGTAGTTTATTTTTTTTGTCGATTATATTCAATATTTCGATTTCAAAGCTTTATTAACAATTGTTTGTTAAAGAAAAAGTAAGATTTGACGCAACATGAAACAAAAGATTTCTTTTCAACTTGTTCAATATTTTTGTTTGTTGCTTTCTTTTTCTTTTTTGAATTGCTACCAGGTAAGTTATACTCGTAAAATAACTAAAGTTGAGGTCAATGCAAAAATTAATTGGTTTGTTGATTATTCAAATAATGATTCATGATATGATACAAGGTCAAATGAAACAAATACAAATATATATAATGAGTGTACTGAAGCACCTGAACTTGATAAAAAGAACACATACTATAAGTATTCAAGTAAATTAACAAAAACGTGATTTTATTTCGTAGTTTTCCTCGGTGAACAAGCTTTTAATTATTAAACTACTAGTTGAACTTAAATAAAAAGAGAATGAGTTTTGGGATTCTTTTTCTTCTTTCTCTCTCACGTGTTGTAGATCAGCCATGCATGTGACAGCAAGACACAAAAAAAAAATGTTATTTTTTACTGTTTAGTACTCTGCACAGAACAGAGAGAAGTGTGGTAAATCTCGTTTTTTGCTTCTATTTTTTTACTCAATTCTCTCCCTTGTTATTTTTCTATGTAGTCAGATATATAAAACTGTGACAAGAACTCACTTCATTCTTTTAAATTTTATCGTCAGAATAATTAAGATTTGATGATCCTCATAAAAACTATATGGCGTTGCATACAGAAATATTTACCTTTATTAAGTTCACTTATTTTTTTTCTGATATTTTTTTATATCAATGCTGTTGTGACAACAATTGCTGACCGAATTGCACCTTATTATCGGCCAGCATTACCCGATATTGGTCATAAGCTATTACCTTATTGGAGTTATTTTCAAATAAATAATTATATGATTATTATTGCTTATGTATTTATATTTATACGATTTTTACCTCAATCAGACATTCGTGTTACTGTTTTTCGTCGTTGGTTTTTCGTACAAGGTGTTATGTTTGGCATGCGTAGTATTTCTATTTATGTCACTTCACTTACTGTACCACAACCAGGTTGTATCACGAATATAACAGAATTAGCAACACCACCTGTCGAAGCTTTTTATGTCATGTTTGGAATACGTTCGACATGTGGAGATGTACTTTTTTCAGGTCATACAGTGGCATGTAAGAATTTATTTCTAGAAAATTAATGTCAAGTTAATGTATTTTGTTTTTCTATTCAAGTAACAATTTGTGCTCTTTGTTGGACAACATATTCTCGTGCAGAAGAATATCGACCTTTTTTATTTCTTTATCGAAAATGTGGTTGTACAAGACAATGTCATTGTTCAGAATGGTTAATTCGACCAAAATTAGATGCTGTAGGAGATCCAATGACACTTTATTTAACAACTTACTTGGTTTGGTTTTATTCTATAGTTGGTTATTTTCTAATTATTGCTACTCGATTTCATTATACTGTTGATGTTTTTCTTGGATGTTTATTAACAGTACTTACTTGGTACACATATCATTCTTATGTCAAAAGACTTTTAGAGAAAAGAAGATTTATTATCGCACGAATATTCATTTGGTTCGAAGGATTAGAAGGTGATGCATCAACATCTATTAGTTTACTCAATGGACCTGTAAGAGATCAACTAACAGAATTAGGACCTGCTGCTGTAGTTAGCGCTGGTGATGCAAGATATTAATGAAATCTAATGTAAATTTTTTACAAATATGATATTCTTTCTCTCGTTATCAATAATAGTTAGGTAAAAAAAAAACAAATTTCAACTGACATATGCATAATGAAATGTTTTCTCATTTTGTTCAGATACTATATATATATATATTTATTGTCAATATGAAAAGTATACTTGAATGACAGTTGTGAAAAATAATTTTTTTTTTATTCAAATTAATAAAAAGACCTTCGTATTATGTATTCATGCATTATTCCATAAAAAAATATTATTTGATTACTTATCAAAGAAGGCAAAATTATCTTTTTTTTATCTTTTATAAAGATATGAATTTTTGTGTTCGCTAGAAAGACAAGTGACAGCGGTCGAGAAGATACTTCGAATGAAAGAGTAATATGTACAAGGCGTTTTAGATCAATGCAATATTGAATCAGTCTATTTTGTTTTGTATTGGATTTAGTTTTACGGTCTTGCTACGAAAATGTATTCGATTGGATATTAACTAACTCCCTTAAGACTGGCAAAAGAAAATCCGATGTAGCCTTTAATATTCTCCATCTTTGATATCTGTTAAGTCATTTCATTACAATATTTGAAAAATACAATAAATTACGTGCCTTTATTTTTTTTAATATACTTGTAATTAACAAAAGAAAAATAGGACAAAAATGAATCCACTATATAAACATTGATCAAAAGCCTGGTTTTCTTCTCGTAAAAAAAATAAAACTTTATTAAAGACTAAAATTGAGTATTGGTTCTAGATAATTTATCAAAATCGTCATTTTCATTAAACACAGCGTTTGTATGACTATAATTATTTTCAATATTTCGATTGGTTATTGTTGCTAATTCTTTTGGTTCATTCTCATTAGAAAATAGTAAGTTTTTTTTACTACGGAAAACATGTTCATCATACCAAGCTAATGTACGAAATGGTCTTGGTAACCATGACCATGTTTGTAATCGGTGTGGCAAAATATTTGGTAAATGTACCTGAAGAAAATTAATAATAATAACAATTATACCAATCAATACCATTGGGGCAAATACACCAATAAACACATACCTAAAGAGCCAACGAAAAAAAGAAAAAGAATTGTTATAAAATGAAAACAAAACTAATAATATACCATCCAGCAAGAGAAATGCCAAAAATTATTAATGGAATAAGAAAAAATGATCCTACTATATAAACAATAGCAAACCATCGATAATTAGCTGTCGTTTCACCTAATTTTTTAGCTAATGTTATTGGTACATTACGCATTATTGGTATTGGAAACCAAATTATAATACCTAATAAAGAACAAAAAAAATACTAAATTTATGTCTATAGAATTTTAATGTTAAATAAATATACCAAAAACATTAAAAAATGTATGACATAGAGCAATTTGTAATGAATTACGAAGTTCTAGAGCTGTTGTTGCTGTTAATGCCGCCATAATACCTGTAATTGTTGTACCAATATTTGATCCTAATGTAAATGGATACATTCGTTCGATAGTTATTATTCCGAGGCCAACGAGTGGTGTTAAAGTAGATGTAAATATTGAACTACTTTGTACAAGTATTGTAAATATACAACCAACCTAAATGAAAAATAATATAATACGAATAAATCAAAATCTATTAATTTAGTTTTGTTTTATTACTCCCATAGCTAAATATGGTGTTAAATGATGAAAAATACCAGGAAAGTCAGCATTAACTGTTTTATGTATGATTGTACTAATTGTTCCTTTGAGCATTGATTGAAGAAGTTTAACAAGTACAATAAGACATGTACAAAGAGCAATTAATGAAAAAACAAGAAGAAGAAGGCCAACACCCCAATCAGGCCATGAAATTTTTGAAAATATAAATCCACAATGTTTGTCTGGCATTAAAATTGATGTTGCATTTTCATCTGTTACATTCTTATATGAACAATAACGTTTAATAAGTGAAACATCAGATTCAATTGATCCAAGAGCTATATTTTGAATGACTTTTTCATCTAACTATAATAAGAAGAATATTTTAAAAAATAGAAAAAAATTCTAAATATATATTTTCGTACATGAATTATTCGATGAGTTATTGGTTTTGTAAGTACATTTAAAAATTGTGGATTTGAACTAGCTTTTCGATCAAGACTAATCGTTCGAGTAATTGCTTCCGTTAGATGATATAATAAACCTGATCAAATATTTTTCATCAAATAAAAATATCATTCATATACATAATATATTTACCTGATGCAATTTCTAATGGTAGTAAAACAATAACTGTTGCCCAATTGAACATATCATGAACAGTAGCACCAGCAAAAGCACGACGAAATTCATCCCTTCGACCCTAAAAATGTATCTATAATTTATTGTAAGTTTTTAAATATGGCCAATGGATACTAAAATTATTTAATAAGATTTTTTTTTCTCATGTTTTATCTACTTTCGTGAGCACGAGAAAGAATTTAAATTGTAATTCGAATAAGAAAAAACGGTTTCCAACAAGAATATAAGGAAACAGAAATCCTAGTTTTTCAACATCTAGAACGTGTAAATATAGTTTTGTTTAGACTACTGTTTTGTGTAGTCTAAACAAAATTATATTTTACGTGTTCTAGGTGCTGCTGCAAAAACCAGGTTTTGTTTTTCTAAAATATCTATATTTGAGAATCTGAAAAATGATTTTTGTTTCGTTATATTCCTGTCAGATACCAATTTCTCTCTATTCGAATCACTATTTGGATTCTCTTTAGCGTTTACGACAGTGGAAAAATGTCTTGTTAAATAATTTTAGTACTCATTGTAGATCTACTTACCGATTGTGTTAATGCAACTATCGTATTTGTTACAGATGTACCTTTATTTGAAGTAAAAAATGTTTAGAAATTTTATTCCACAAAAAAACATACCAATATTAGCTCCTAAAATAAAATGTAATTAAATATAATACTTTTTTTTTTGTTTTAGTGAAAAAGGAATTATCTTACCCATAATAATTGGGATTGCTTTTCTAACAGGTAGAACTAATGTAAAAATTAAACATAAAAATATATTTAAAGTTTATATCGATTTTCATACTTGAAGATGAAACCATTGAAACAACAATTGATGTTGATGTTGATGAACTTTGTACAACAACTGTAGCTAATAATCCAAGCATAAGACCAGCAATTGGATTCGAAAGAATAGCACCTTCTGTAAATGCTTTTCCAGTTATTTTGCCTAATTGAAAAAAAAAAGAAGAAACTTTTTTTTGTATCAAAATGAATAAAATCATTTTTACCTCCAACAAGTCGAAAAGCTGAACTCATTATATCAAGTGAACAAACAAAAATATACAATAGCAATAATAAACCGATGACTTTGCCAATTATCAATAGAACATATTTTATGCGTTCTATTTGATTCAAATCTACAGAGAAACAAAAAAATGAATACGAAGTTACAATTTACTTTATGCGTAATTTACCTTTCCATTGGCTTTCTTTATGCTCACTAATACTAACCACAACTGAATTCCATTTATCAATAGGAATAACTTCATTTTGTGATGAATTATTCTCTGTCATCGTAGTTTATAATATGTTGTGCGTAGAAGATCAATAATCAATATCTTAAATAGTTCTATTTTTAATGATGCATTAAATGTTTGGACTTTGAAATGAAAGCATTCGTTGAGAATATGATGAAAATATTAAATGTAAAGGTTCGATATAAATATATCATCTTCGACATGGTTAACTTATTGTTTTTTCAATAATAATTCTATGCACTTTACAGAACAATAACCTTTTTGCATCTCATTCAAAAATAATTCAAATGATTTTTGATATTATTTGAAAACACGGTGTATCTATTCATAACGAAAATTTGTTTTGCTTTTTCTTTTATAATCTATTCATGTAAATATTCTGAATTACTTGTGAAATGCCAATATATTACGAAATTTGACTAAATAGAATATTTCTTTTTTTCTAAACACTTAAAATTTGTTATTCTGTCATTGTAGAAAATAACCTATAGAAACATATTGCGTACAAATGTACGAATGAAAATATAAATTTCTTATGTCATAGTGTTATAATCTTTCGACTCTCCGTTGAAAAATTTCGATCAGATAGTGCAACAGAGAAATTCATTATTCCTCTTTTATTCCAATTCGCAGAGACGCTCTAACCTATTGTAAACTATGTTTTCAATACATCTTTCCTATAGCATTACTAATATCGTTTAAACTGACAGATTCCGTTTCGTTTTTTGCCGAAATCTAGATATACACTAGTATGTATTTTGACTAGTCGACTGAATACAGATTTAGTGTTCTTATACTAAGCTCTATTGATCCTTTTTTTTCTGTGACAACTACTTGTCATTTATGTTAGGTATGTCACAGGTCTAGTGTATGACTTGTGCATACTCACTGAACTCTAAATTTATTTTGTTTTTAAGGTGGCGACCGATAGGAAGCAGATAAAAATTATTTATCTTTCTAAAACTTCAATTTGTTTCTACTTTTTATACAATAGCAGGAAAAAAATCTCCAATAATACACAAAAAAATGTGTGCTTCACTGCAGTCAAGTGTGCATATATTAACAGCTAATTCATGTTTCTTTACAGATAGTTTTTTAATCGGATCGATCTTTTACTGTATAATGGGTGGTGAAAAATTTTCGGATAATATTTTGTCTAGTTTCGGTCTGTTTGAAAATAGTCGAGAGAAGTGAGAAATTACGGTTTCGGACCAGAATTCACTTTTCTTTCAGAAGATGAACTCAGACATAGTGTGCCGACTTTTACTCGAAAGTAGTGATGGAATTTTTCTGGGTTCTGAATAATTGGTTGAGATGTCTAACGACGAGAGTTTTGCTAAACCTATAAGTCCTTTGGAGCACATGTTAAAAATTACTGAACTTAGGAATATCTTAGAGCAAACAGTTGTTTACAAAATGTGATATCAAACTAAGCTGTCGCTTTTATCTATGTGAAGCTATAAACATTTTCTTAGAGGTTACATTCCATGTAAAACACCCTTTCGTCAAAACATCGATTCTTCAAAAGCCAAAGTGATATAAAAATAACAGTTTATATATTTTATCGGAAGACACAAAGGAACTCAACTATTAAAGTTTGCAGGGCAGATTTTATTCTACACGCTAATATTTGAATAAAAACTTTAACATTTTGTTTCGATTCCAATAGTGAACATACGAAAGTATATAAAAAAAATTTCCTATTGCAATAAATTTTTCAAGCATTTCAAAGATTCTCCTACTACGCTGTTTGTAAACTACAATGTTTCATACACCTAGAACACTTTCATTTGGATCAAAAGTAAACAAAAGTTTTGTTTAGAAAATTTCGCACCACCCATTAGTACCGTACTGAGCTTCAATACAAAAATGTTTGATTTGTTTCGGATTCTGATACGAAAGATTCAACTGATGTCACTATATTAAAGAATGCCATATATTATTCTTTTCTAATATATTTTTTGTTGTTGCTTAGGAAAAAAACAAAAATCTCAGATCATTTACTTACTTGAAAATATGTTTGCTGTGTGTTAGCAATTTGATGTTTTTATACTTTCAATAGAAATGCAACTAAAATCAATTAAAATTCTTCATCCTTTTATACATTCATATCAATCTTCCTATAACCTTTGTTCTTAGCATAATATACGCCTTCAGTAGATTAAGAAAATATTGATCTAAGGCGTCTTCATCGACAATAAGAAAAATACGAAAGAAATTTCTTTAAAATTGTTTTCAATCTCTGACATCAACTGCATTACGGTTTCATAAATCCCTATTCAAATTCTACATATCAATAAGACCACATCCCTTGACATGCTATGATAATTGTCTTCTTTTATTTCGATTCATTGAATAGGATCAAGATCTGACGCTTCGTCGTTGAAAACAACTTTCTCAGACATTCAATATTGACTTGTTGTTCAACAGAAATGAGATAGTTAGACAAAATTGATCGAAAATTTCTTCTAATACTGATACGGAAAAAATCGGAAGGTAATAGCAGTGGTGGAGTCAAGAAAAAAAATGTATGAATAGGCTCTCAACTGTCGTTTGAAACCGAAATTCAGGTATTTTCTTCGTCAATAATATAGGATCATCTCATTTCTAGAGTAAGCTCAAAGGTTTCTGAAGGAAGTTTAAAGACTTCCGGAGAGGGCTAAGCCCACTCTAACCATCCCCTGAGTCGATCATTAGATAATAGTAATTGCTGGATAAGTTTTAATCTTTTCCGGTATTGCTATTAAAAAACGTCTTTAGTCTAATAATTAATTATGATTTTATGTCTGAAGAAATAGTTTTTAACAACGAAATGTCTCGTGTTAACCTTATTCAGTAAACTGAAATAAAGGAAGAGAACTATTGTAACATGTCAAATTATTCTTCAACCTTTCTAACAAGACAAGAAGGTCATATCATATTTTCGTCGCCTTTTCCAATGATGTACCTGAAAAATGTCCGGAAGACGAAACGAACAAATTGCATTACTCATTGAAATGTCTTTCGACAAATAAAAGAATGAATTCAAAAATAAGAAAAAGTAAATAACATGACGTGATCCTAAAATCAGGGATTAGATAGTCATTGAAATCAATTACTAGTCGTTTCTTGGATTAAAAATATAAAACTTTCTGATATTATGAATCAATATCTGATTTATTAATCATTATTTGAAAATTTTCTTTTCCTAAAAAAATACGAAATGAAATCATATGTAATCAAATTCTAACTAAAAATAATCCTTATTCACGTTGTATATAAATTCTCTGTCGAGTAAATGTGCGACATCTTTCTGACTTTGGGTTTTAGTTGGTCAATGTTTCTATTTCACTTATAAATACATACTATTTCTTTTAATCATAAAGATATTTTACCTATTTTTCTTTCAACTGTAAGACAAACATGAGTCTTCTATTCATCTCTGCTAGAAGAACATTTCAATCTTCTTTCGTTTCACAACGTTTTCTTTTACATACTTCTCGATTTCTATCAACTGAAAATGCTACTGATATAAATCAATTTAAAAAACAAGATTTAAAAGGTGATTATCCATCATCTCGTCCTCGTCGTCAATATCGTTATTATCTTTTATCAATTGCTGCTGGAGCATTAATTGGTGCTGCTTATACTTTTCGTCAATCGAAAAAATATGAAGGTCTTATGCCTGAATATATATCCAATCCGGAATTACTCGAACGTCAAGCAATGGAAGCTCGACCATTACCACCACCAGTTACCAAACATGTCACATTTGATAAACCACCAAGAGAAATTTTTCCATTTAAATTAACACTCTATCAATATATTACATGGTTAGTTTATTTATTTCTTAAATAATCTTTTAGTATAAATTTCTATTTTATTTTTTCTTCATAGTCCATTTTGTTGTAAAGTTCGTGCGTATCTTAACTATAATCGTATACCATATGATATAGTTGAAGTCAATAGTGTAATGCGTTCCGAAACAAAATGGTCAATATATAACAAAGTACCAATAGTTGTTCTTGAAAATGAACAAATTCAATTAAATGATTCAAGTATGATTATATCATCAATTGAATCATATTTACGTATGCCAACAAAAACATTTAAAAATCTATCAAAATTATATCAATCAATTATTGAAAAAGATGATAAAGGAAAATTATCATTTAATTATCCAAATAAATATTTTCTTGTTGAACCATTATTAAATGATCGAATAGACCCAACAAAACAAGTACAAACAGAAAAAACCAAATATGATGCTATAGATAATAAAATACAACCAATAGAAAATACGCAACCTTCGAAATCATTTTTTGGTAATTAGAAAACAAAAAAGAATTTCTAATTAATTTACCTTTTTATTTTTGTTTTTAAGCTAAACTTTTTTCAAAATCAAAACCCAACAATGAACAAGGTTTAATTAATATTGGTTCAGAAAATGTAACTAATAATGAAACAACTTCAAAAACTTCATATATTAAATCAAGTGAACAATATAAATTAGAACGTCAATGGCGTGAATGGGTTGATACAAAATTTGTTCATACATTATCACCAAATATTTATTGTACTTTAAAACAATCACTTAATACATTTCTATGGTTTTCAAAAGCTGGTGATTGGGAACAAATTTTTCCATGGTATCAACGTTGGATTATTGTTTATGTTGGTGCTATTGTTATGCGAGTTGTAGCTGAACGTTTGAAAAAAAAATATAATTTAAATAATAATGTTAGACTTTCTTTATATGAATGTGCAAATGAATGGGTTAAAGCAGTTGGAAATAAAGATTTTCTTGGTAAGATCAAAAATCAAATTTAATTACCAATAAATATTATTTAAATTTCAATGAAAATAGTTTTAATTTTAGAATAAAGATGATTCTTTATTCTCGAAGTAGTTTATATCTAGTTGGTAGTTTTTTGTTTTATTTCTTGAAATAGTTTCATTTTAAGTAAAGATTTTTTTTTTTTTGTTAGAGATTCTGTTATTTCAATTACAAATCGAAAAGAACATAAAATATTCAAGACTTGAAATCTATCTTAAAGAATAAAAAAAAAAGACATCAGTCATAGCAGTAGTACTGAAAATTAGTTATAATCTTAATTAAATTTCATATGAAATACTACGGTTCTATAGAAAATTTTAATATAATTTAAAACCTAGTTTGATTTTGTTATTCAACTACAGTAAAACCTCTTTCAGTGCACATGTTGTTATCCTTAACGATTTTCGACGATGTTCACAATGTAGAGATTTTATCGTAATTTTGTAATCTTATTTTTATACATAGAAAAAAAGATATTTTAAAATCATGTCACACTGTTTTATTGATCTACATGATCACATTACACACATATTCATTCATGATAAATCATTATTTTTTTTTAACTTCAGGTNATGAATTTGTTCATGTAATAAAACATATTGTGTTGGAATATTATGTTGAGCAGCCCAAGTATTTAAAGTAACAGTTGGAGATTGAGGCTCTTTTTAAAAAATAAGAAATAAATAAATTTTAAAATTGATATTAATAAAACAAACAAAAAATTAACCTACTGCTTGTTTCTTTATCAGGATGATTCCTTGATAATATATGTTTATGATCTTCAAGAGCTATTTGTGCAGCAGCACGTTGTGCTAATTTAATACTACGATCAATACCAACATATTCTTTTTCATCTAAACGAAGTCGTACTGTATAAATTTTTGCATGAGCTGGACCTGATTCTTTTTCAAGTTGATATTCAGCAATTATCTAATTAATATTGATATGAAATAAAATTTTGATTTTTACATTTTTTTTTTTGTCTTATTAAATTTCTTACTTTATTTCGTCGAGCCAAGTCATGAATAGCTTTTAATGGAGATATTTTCGATAGATTTTGTTGCATTTTTAAATTTATGATAGGATAGACTATGTACACTGGGCCAAATAATTAAAATATAAAAAGTTCTTTTGTTTTTCGTTTTTCCTTATCGCATAATATTATTCTTCTTAAATTAAAAACAATAATATAGATAAATAGACACACACAACACAGATAGATAATAAGACAATAAAATACTAGCAATTGAGAGTAAAAGTATGTGAGACCATGGGAATAAAAAGAACTATGTGATTTTATTTCTTTTATCGGCTCTTGTCTTTGTTTCTTTCAGCAGTATTATGTAATTAAGAAATTATGGATTGAAGTATATCATGGAAAAAAAAACCGAAAGATGGTGCACGTATACGATATTCTTATATTAAATTATAAAAGATTTTAGAATTAGAAAAAAAAAAAAACAAAGAATATACCTAGTCTTTCTTTTGTCATATTGTCAATTGTTGGATACATTCATAATAAATTTGTTTTATTGATCTAATTTGAATAGAAACATGTATGAATATCAACAATCATATTTGAAAAGTGATGTTTTATTTATATAGTTTGTATAGGAATGTTTGCGGAGGTGTGTATGTAAAGGAAATCAAAATGTTTTTGATAATCAATACGTCTATACATTGAAAACGTGGCTGATTGTATTCTTGTTATAAATATTCATTCAGTGATGGCCCAACCAATGAGATGCAGGGATGTAACACCCTCTCCCCAATTGTGAAAAACTTTTATTTTTGTCAGTATAGCTGTAATTCAATTTTTACATTCTGTTAAAAGAAAGATAAAGATATTTTTCCTTTGAAAATATCGCTGCTCTCCCTCCTAAATATTGACTGCTGCATACCATCACTGTATCCATTTATGAAACAATATTATATGTTTTTGTATTGAGCATTTTATTAAATTTGCTTCCTAAAAAATATATTTATATCAATTTTAATTCTATACCAGAAAAAAATAGTGTTTTAGATAGTTTCGAAAATTGTAACAAAATCGAAATCTTTTTCAGATATCATAGATCTATGATATCTGAAAAAGATTTCGATTTTGTTTCAATTCTCGGAACTTTTTTTTAGATTTCGTATTATACTTTTTTTGTTCTCAGAGTAGCCATTCCATATAATTCAAAATATAGTTCCTATTGCATATGGTCAAGGATAAAAGAAGGTTAGCAGTTAATATTAACAGAGGCCGTAAAAATGTAGGCGTGAAGGATATACATCCCCAATATGGGGACCTACCATGACCTCATAATATTAACGTTATAAATCTATATTGATGCTATCTCTGACAAGATATGTCAATATTTGTGCCATGAAACATTGACTTATAGACAACTCTATTTCATCTATGTTTATACATATCATCTTGCACATTATAGAAAACATGTCTTATACAAGTATATCAATGATATAATTCATTCATGCTAAGTAATCTACATATTTCTATCAAATATGTTGTTCTAATCATAGTGCTATAAGTAGAAGAATAAATCACATGTGAAGTCATCAGTTGCACAATATCATTCAATCGATGGTAGAGAATGTTTATACCTGTATCATACAAGTAGTTGTTTTTTTTTTCAGTCTAAATTTATCAACGATAATTATTCTTTTCTATGACGTTGAAAAATATTCATAAAGATATTTTGTTAAATGGAAATATAGATGAGTAAATTGCAAAATATCATATTAGTGACGAGCATACATAATTAAAGTTTATGTTATACACGACGAAATGATTTAGTGTGTGATGCAAAATGTGACAGACATGAATTAAACTAAAAAGGTCAACCAAAAAGATTAAAATGTACTTTTTTTTCTTTGGTAAGAAAAACAGTTCGTGAATTCAATAATTGAAAAACATAAAAATAAAAACATTGAATTCATAGAAGACATATAATGTTATAACTTTGTTTCTGCTAGTTTACATCTTCGACATACATTATCAGTTATTTTGTTTTCTGCAGTACAGTTACTACATCTCCAAATAATTTTTTTAGTAATAGTGATTCCATCATTTATTGAATCAGTTACTGATGCTGATGATGATCGTACATTTCTATCAAATGTTGGTTGAAGATAATATTGATCATCTATTGAATCATTTATTTCTGCAGCTGGTGTCGATTGTTGATCTTCATAATAATATTCTTCGGGTGGTAAATTGTTTGATGATTGTTTACTTTTTTTTCTTCGAAAAAATAATCGTTTAAGTGACTCATCAAATGATAAAAGATCATTTTGCATTTGATGCATTGATGGATCACTTTCAACTAATGCACCACCAAAATATTTTGAGCGTATTTTAGTTACTTCATTAACAATATCATCAACTTTTACAGCATTTGGAGCTGTACCAAATGCTAAATCGTCCATATTCCAATTGCTTGTTGAAGATTGGTTATTACCCATGATATATTGCAATTAATGAAATCAACAAGAAGAAAAACTAGACTGTATAAAACAAATGGAGTACATGTTTTTTTTTTCCCTTCATTATTAAGCAGTTTTTTTTGTGTTCGTTGAAGCGCAAAGACATATTTATGATCTATGACTATCTAACTGTTTTATTGGTCAATAATGTCTATAGAAATCGATGAATATTTGTATCGTATAGATATATTTAATGATGATGTATCAAAAAAAAACAAGCAAAGAAACAAACAACATCAATAAGAACAGCAAAAGAAAAAAAAAAGTCATATCGAATATACAGAAGAAAACAACTGAGCATTTAATACACTTTTATAAAAAAAAAAAAACACATAAACGAACTGACGAACAATTGAATGAATACTGACCAGTATAAGATACAGATAAGTTTAATTGACATTTATTTTATTTTTTATTCACATCACTGTTAATTAATTAAATAAGAAATTGAATTTATGAACAACAACATGATATTCCTGTACGTTTTGTTGATGTTGGAGTAAGTGCAGCTAAAATAGCTGCATCAAATGTTTCTTTAAGATTTTCTTGTGTTAATGCTGAACATTCAACATAACCATATGCACCATATTCTTTAGCTGCACGTTCACCTTGTTCACGTGTTATTGGTTTTTGTTTTGATTTAGCTAATAACTCAACATCAGCTATACTTGTACGAAGATCAATTTTTGTTCCAACAAGAAGAAATGGTGCTGTACGTGATGATGATGATTGACGAATTTCATCAATCCACATTTTAAGAGCATTATTAAATGATGCTGGAGACATAACACTGAAGCAAACAAGAAATACATCAGTATTAGTATAAGAAAATGTACGCATTAATTCGAAACCTAAAGAAAATTAAAAAAAAATATTTATTCAATTAAATCTTATTTGATCATCAAATAAAATCATACCACTTTGACCAGCTGTATCAAATAGTGCAAGTGTATAAGGTTCACCACTAATCATTACAGTAACAGAATAATTATCAAATACAGTTGGAACATAAGATTGTGGAAATGTATTTGTTGTATATGATATAAGCATAGATGTTTTACCAACACAACCATCGCCTACACAAACACATTTAATTGTTTTATTTGTAAAATTACCACCAACTTGATTCGATGTTAATGGTAAATTCGATGGATTAGGCATTATCTAAAATGAACATGTATGACATTATTTACCAAAGATTAGACTTTGTGTATTCTTTTTTGGCTCTTGCGATTCTTTTTTTTTCCTTCACTCTCTGTTTTCTGCATTTATGTGAAGGATGCTTCTGTTAATGGTATACTGGTGTCTGTCAATTACGTTTGTAGAATAAAGGAGAAAAAAATAGAAAGAGATAAGAAACAATGAAGAATGTAGGTGGTTTTCACAGGAAGAATATTAAAGTGAAGTGTGTACAGACATTCATATTATTAATGTATTCAATGGATAAAATACCATAAAAGGAAGAAAGAGAAACTAAAATGAAGTATTGTTATTATCACTATAGTACAAAAAATTATTCATATAAAAACTAAAGCAAAAATCATAAAAACAATTCAATATGTGATTAATATTTATATGTTATTAGAATGAGTAAGATTTAAAGTAATGAAATAATATAATGATCTAAAATAAAGTAATTAAAAATATTTTAGTTATAATATAACTAAATCTAAAGAATAATAAATCTTTGTTTAAAATGAAATTTGAAAGAGAATTACTAATATTAGATATTTATTAAGAACTATTATGAAATAAACTCATCTATCGTGTACTGACCTTGTCATTTTTTGAACCATGCTTAACATAATCGATATATATTTAATTAGCTAATCAAATCTTAAAAAAAAAAAAAAAACGAAAATTTTCTTAGCTATTTTAATACCTTTTAACAATCTGTTGTTCACATTATTCGTTATAAAAATAAACAGAAGCCTTGAAGCTCTTTAGAAAAGAAACTTATTATTGGCTTTGTTCATGTGGTTTTACTTAATCTTTTCTCATTGGTAATCGATTTGCCATTGATCGTCCTATGGCGACCTCCGTTCGATGTTGTTTTATTTTACTGGTTCATTCATTTATCTTGTCTGTCAGCTGTATATAGTGAATCATATGATATTATGCATTATCATTAACAATTCAGCTCATTTTTTTTTCATAACTATTCAATTCAATATGGAATTGGTTTTTATGGAATTTAAAAAATGTTTTTAATGTCGTCATCTACATTGATTCGAGTTCAACAATCATCATTATTTAATGAAAATAATTATTCAAATAATAATGGTAATGAAAAACGTACAATAAGCATGTTTCGTTTAATTCTTCATCTATTGGATTATATTTATTTATTTCATATAAACATATTTCTTTATTTTTTATTACTTATTAAACGAATATTAATATTTTTTTTTGGTTTTGGGACTTTTATTTTTGTTAGTTTACGTGGATCGAAAAAAAAAGTAAAAATAAGAAATTAAAATTTTCTTAGATAGTTGAAATAAGAAATGATTATTTAGCTTATTCAATTTCAATCTGTTAAATATTATAATTGTCCTCTTCAATCATTATCTCTTCATCGATTACGTATGTTGATATTTTTCTTTTGTTATTTATATGTTTAATAAATATTGTTTTGTTTTTCTTTGAAAGATTTTCTTCCAAAAAAAATTCTAGTATTAGATTTAGATGAAACATTAATTCATTCTCATCATGATGGTCAAGTGCGTACTTTAGCAGGCAAACCAACTGTATCACCAGATTTTATAATTCGTGTTGAAATTGAAAAACATCCAGTACGATTTTTTGTTTATAAACGACCACATGTTGATTATTTTCTTGAAACAGTAAGAAAATTAATTTGTTTGAACCTTTTATTTTTTCTTGTTTATATAATTATTGTAGGTTAGTAAATGGTATGAACTTGTTGTATTTACTGCATCCATGGAAATTTATGGCGCAGCCGTTACCGATAAATTAGATAATAATCGAAATATTCTTTTACGTCGATTTTTTCGACAACATTGTAAATTAGAGTCTGATGCTTATTCAAAAGATTTATCCGTTGTTGATAATGATCTATCACGAATATTTATTTTGGATAATAGTCCTTTAGCTTATCGTTCTTATCAATTAAATGCCATTCCTAGTAAATGAAATTTTTTTTTGAATTAAAAAAAAGTCTTCTCTTAACTTTTTTCTTTAGTTAAATCATGGTTTTTTGATTCAACAGATACTTGCCTTCTGTCACTACTTCCATTTCTTGATGCATTAAGATTTTGTTGCGATGTACGTTCTGTATTAGCAATGAATTTACATTTACATAAAAATTTAATGATGACAAATAGAAATTCATTGATCACACAAGTTCTGCCACCATAGACGTAATAATAATATTTCGTCTTTTTTTCTATGTGATTACTTCTTTTTTTGTGTCTGTTTCTTTCTATTTGTATTTATTCTACATTGTCTTGTGTATTTACGTGTCTCGTGAGAGAGAAAAAAAAAACGAAAAGGCCGGTTACGTAGCCAGGCAGAACTACTAGTTACTATTGTTATTCGATACTTGCTATCGTACACTAAAACACAGAATGAACAAATGGGGAATAGCGACATCGTCGTTTATGTGTCGTATCCCTTTCTTTCTTCATGCATCTCGCATGATTTATTCATACGTTTGCAAAGTATACGTCTTTTGTCGTTACTCTTTTTCTTCCTTTTGTACGTGGGATGAGGACGAAATGAAGGTATTCAATCTTTTCTATTTTATTCGTCATCAGTAAGTATTAGTTTTGTGCTTACGCACTTTTGCTGGAAGAATCGATCGATCGATATGATGAAAAAAGATAAAGAACCCGATAAAATGACAAAAACTAATGATCAAACATCAACTGGTCGTGTCAAACAAAGTAAAAAAAAATAACATAACATAAAAGACTTCGACTAAAATGTTCAATAATCATTTATATATTATTTTATAGTTTGTCAACGTTTTTTATTACATTCTGATTCAGGTTTAGCTCATCGATTACAAGAAGAAGAATGTAAGATTGATAATTATCATAATAATTTTTATGTTCATTTGATATAGTTGCTGTACATTTTGATCGAAATCGTACACATCGACGCGAATCGCGTCTAGGTGTAAAAACTGCACGTGATGTTGAAGAAGAAGAAAAACGAGCATTTGTTGCAAAACAATTAGAGTTTTATCAACAAAAACACAAAATGTTGGTATTTATTTCTTATTTTGATACGAAAAGAATTTGTTTTTTTTTTTGCAATTATAGAGAAGAAAATGATATTGCAGTAGCACGACAATTACAAGAGAAGGTGGAAATTCAATCAAATTCAATAGATCAAACTCCTTATAGTGCTCATCATCATTCTTTTGATGATCAAGTATGAATATATAAAATATTTTGACCAATATAATCTTCCTTGTTTTTTTTTTTTTTAATTACGACAGAATTTTTATGAAGAAATTGATTTACCATCAACATTTGATGATACAAGCAGTGATGAACAATTAGCACGAGTTTTACAACAAGAAGAACAATTATTATCTTCTACTCATCGATCGCGCTATAATTCAACATTTGTATAAATTAAAATTGTTTTTTTTTTCTTTTATCAAATGTATATTTTTCCATTCTGAACATAAATCGTAATATAATAATGTGAACTGAAATAGTATTTTGTAATCTTCAAGACAAAAACTGTTCAAATTAGGGTGTGAATTTATATGATAGAAAAGCTTTTTGTTGTATATCCTAAAAATGAAATAATGACGTTGACTTGCAAGAAAATACCAAACAAAAAAATATTGAAACATGGAAAGTTTTCAAGAGTTATGTCGAATAGGTTTCGGTCGCATGCTTAATTAGATATCTATTGAATGTTGATACGATTGTCATGAAAGCTCAGATGTCTCTTACAAACGTGCGTAAATTATCATCATTCTTTTCTAGAACAGTAAATATGTACTTACCTTAACAAAACCTGCTCTCATACGCTGTATGAAATCTACAACTAAAAGAGATTTAGTAAATATAAGAACAATGTCAAGAACACTAGAAACAACAAAATTTAAATTACTAGTCAAATTTAATGTTAAAACATAAACGAAGAAAATTAATTAAAAACAGGACAATTCAAAGTTTCTTATGCTAATATTAAAGCAACATGGAAAAATGATTTCGAAATAAGATCTTGAAGCATAAAATAATTTCAAAAATTTGGTACTACATAGCAAGAGGATGTAGAATAAAAAGAAAACAAATATAACTTTAATCCGGAATAGTATTTGTAGTTAAAATAAATTATTCTATGCATTGTTTATGTACTAAAACATCGTTTTTCTTCCTATGTGTCGACCGTCGAGAAAATCCTTCTCTATAATATGAACCGATATATCTTCCTTATGATTAAGGGTATACATATGAAAATTTAGGGCAATATTCAACTAGTTGCAAGAAAACTAGCGTAAAATATAGATCATCTTTGATTTGACAATTAGGGAGAACGAGCGATGTCTTTGAGAGAATCCAAAACATTTGGACTACTTTTTATTTGTTTTATTTTACTTTATGCAATTGACAAACTATTAGAAAAAATATTTTTTGGCAAAAAGAAAAGTTCTACTCTGGAAGAGTCCATAGGAATTCATTAACAAATGTTTATTTTCTCGACTGAATTAGTGTCAAAGTCTGCGAAAATTATAAGCTAAAGTCATAGAAAACTTTAGATCGTTCTACATTTTGAATAAATATTAAATGAATTTTTTAAAAAATAATCAACTAATAAAAATCTAAGTTTTGATGGAAAATTTTTCAAGTAAAAAGAAACATACTCTGATTCAGAATACAGTAAAACCTTTGCCTGATTTATTCTACTCATGCGGGAAGTAACGAAATACAACATAGAATAGTAAATATGGCCATTCTTTCTGGCTCTCAGTTTGTATGTACACAAAGGAGTAGAATATCAATAGAAAAAGCATACAATGACGTTAGGATCCTGTTTTACTACTATCTCTCTTTTCACTATTTATTTTCAAAAATTTTCTCTCTGTTGACATTTATTTATAAGCAGCAAACTTGATAAGACTATAAATTCTATGATAATTTTGTGCACTATTAAATGTCCGTCAAAGATGTGCATTATTAATTAACCGTAGATTTGATTTAGTTTTCACGTTATATTTGTTTTTTTTTATCTCTTATGAATGTGCAAAATACATGTAATAAATAGTATGAACTACAAATAAGTCTACAATAAATTATAATTCTAAATAATTATTCGATTTTGTTTCAATAACATAATTAGATGTCAAAGTGAATGAATAATATGTATTAAGTATACTATGATGAATTTTCAATTGATTGAAAAGTCTGATGCATGTTCCCACAGAAAAAGTTTTCGACTCTAGTATAAAAAAGCACTTTTATGACCAGTTTTTTCAAAAACCAATATGCAAAAACTAAAAACAAAGTTGGAACTGGTCGTTTACTGTTACCGATTACAACTCTGTACTGTTCTGTATCATTTTTTTAAGTCTAACAATATTTGGTACCGGCAATCATTCAAGTTCGTACTCAGCCGCTACCGATATTTTTTAACAGCTATAGTTGAATAGATATCCTAGTTGTTACTTGTGGTAATACAGAAACTTTTGAAAATCAAACAACATTTTCAGATTCTGAATCATGTGATCCTAGACTAGATTCAGAATACAATTATGACGGTTTGACACCAATATACCGCTCGAGTCATGCCAGAATTCGATTGGATCAGCAAAATTCATAAAACTCTGATTGACTGGAAAGATATCATAAGATTATCGGTGCTGTAGGTGTGTCCATGATCTGGTTCGAGATTCTCGATACAGGGAATGATTAAATTTGGTAAGTTCGGATTCGATGCATGCTTAGACAGGTAAATATCAAGTTAAGCACAATATTCAAGTAAGAAATTATATTTCACATGAAAAAATTATTTTTATGAAAACAAGTAATGGATGACCCAGAATAGATAGCCGTGCTGCGCTTTATTTTTCTTTTTTGGTTTCCAAACGCATTGTATTAAAAAACAAAAACATACCACAAGATACATCATGAAAAGCTCGACAAGCTCCAAAGCAAGGCTGATGTTAATTGTAGAGCTTCTAATGTTGCATCTTGTGGTAATTTTTATTTTTTTAATACAACGTGTTTAGAGATAATAAAAATACAACGCAAAGTACGGTCATTTATTCTAGGTCAACCGTTATGTAAGTTCAAATGAGTAAATCCTTATTTATCAATAATAAACTTATTTTTAATAATTTACTCTTCTTTATCAATGTTAAACAAAAAAAGCGACCCTTGACAAAGAATTTCATATAAAAAGAAAACCAAACATATCTTTATTGACTTCTTTTGGTCTCCCATTGAGATATATATATGTATCTTCTACCTGGCTTCTTTTTCCTATGTCTCTACCTTGTCAAGATATCAGTTACATTACATGTTCTAATCGTCTCTTGTTTTGTTTCGTAAAATTTTATCCGCTGTTTATAAGAACATAGCTGTGTTGGTTGAATTGATGGACACACGGTTGCTGGTAGTCACTCCTGATATCATCATCCCCTTTTGTCTGTTTTTTCTCTCCCTTTCTAGATATTATATTCTTCATCTGTGGTTAGTCCGCCAATAGACTCACAACTCTTTGCTTTCTACTGTAATAACTGTATCATAATATAGAATTAGTAGATGGTATGTACATATGTGTGAGTTATTTCATAACATATTCACATGAGCGTGATGATTAATTCAATGAAAAAAAAAGTTGATTTCAACCAAACAATTTAGGGAAGTTAAAAGATTTTCTCAAACAGATGTTTTCGAAAAATAATCGTTTCATACTGTAGAGAAAAAAAACAATCTACGTAGATTGTCGAAATCATTAGACAAAAAAATAAAATTGATTCTACAATATTACACGGAGTAACGAAAAAGTCCATCAGAGTTGTCCTCAAAATAATTAAGTTTCAATGCAAATTTTTTAACATAACAGCTAACCTCGTCTTGAAAATCAATTTTTGCAACTATATTTTCTTCAGATATTTCACATCGAAAGTCGATCCTTCATCGCCAATGTTCAGAAACAAAAACACTCGAACAATTTAAATCCAATAAACCTGAGATAGAACCTATGATTTTCCTAAAAACATTATCACACATAAGAAACTATTTGTAAATCTTTTTAATGCCTATCAGGTCCTAGCACACTGGATAGGTAGTGTATAGTTAAAAAATGTATATGACATTTTTCATTTCTCTAGATACGAATATTCAATGGTTCATTAATCTTATCCATAGGATAATCTAGATCCATTTTCAAACATAAATGTATTAAATAGAGAGAAATTATGTCGAAAGCTCATAAATAAAGAAATGAAAAACTTCATAGTTATCTTTTACTTGTTTTTTTTTTTTGGTTTATTATAAATTCTAATTATAGTTCAAACTTTAACGATTGCTTGTTTTCACTGGCATCTTTTCATTAACTTAGACAATCAACTAACAGAAATAGAAATATCTTGTATTATTTAAAAAGAGAAGCCAGACGTATCATTACAAAAACAGATGAAAGCAGTCGATAATGATCGATTGAAAATTTATGGTATTAAAAAAAAAATCAACTTTCTTCGTCTTCTTACGTAAACCTATAAAATCTATTCTGAGACAATACTATGAATTATAAAATAAACGCACGAAAGAGTCATTTTTGGTTTTTAATGACGTAAATGTATGAATAGTAACAATATGTTATGTATTATTATGCGTTATTTCACAATTAGAAAACAGTGATTGATCAGTTTAAAACTGTCATGTGTAATACATTTTTCTGCAATCAATTGAGCGACATAAGCGTAGAAAAAATCTTTAGATTCAATTCTTGTCAATTTGTAAGAAATGACTCTAAGGTTGGTTTGAAACAATTAGAACGATTTTTTTGTAATTTCGTGGTTCTAATATATGTTCAATACTTTTAAAAGTACACATATCAATTCTCATATTTGAACGATTTAACTTATACAACAACACGAAAGTTATTCTCACTTATATGAAAAGCTTGAATGAAGCAGTTCGATCTATTTTTATTTCATATATATATATATACGTATTTTTAGAAATTTTTAATATTCATCTGAATAATTATATTTCATGTAGACATTTATTATATTTTATATTATTATTGAATGATTAAAAAGTGCATAATGTTATTCATTTATTTAAGTATTCTTGCATGTGTTTTTATTCCAATTATTTCTTGTCAAACAATTTATGAATTATTAGATTCATTTAGATTTTTAAATGAAGGTACAATATCAAGTTCGGATATTTATGAATATCAATATGAATTTACATTCTATACAGAACCAGAAAATGTAACACGAGAAAAATTTGCATGGGTAGAAGAAGTTGTTCGACCATATTTATATCAAAAAGATCCAAATAAATCTTTACAATGTAATTCAAATCCATTATTATCAGGTACCGATTTACCAGGCGCGGATTTTTTATCAATAATACCATCATTAGCTGATCCGTCTCATTGCAATACATTATGTTGTACGTATATGTCGTGCGCTGCATGGTCATATGCTTCCTTAGCACCATCAGATTTTAATGGTTGTAAAAAAGGACAACCATGCTGTTATTTAAAAACTTATATACCAGCATCTGTTCCTAATCAAAATATTATATCTGCAACGATGAATCGTACATTTCCATATCATCCGCCCAGTGGACTAAGGTCAGCTGTACCATTAGGTGGTATAACAACAGGTTCAATTGAATTACGTGGTGATGGAACATTTCATGAATGGACAATTGAAAATCAATCACCTGCTGCTGCAGCAAAATTTGGTGTTGTTGATGATGCATTATTAGCAATTCGATTAAAAAATTTACAAACAAATGAAAATCATACTCGATTAATACGTACACATCCAAATCATAATTTCAAAGGTATAGACGCTATTAGATATTATGGATCATATCCTGTCAGTAAATTGGAATTAATTGATTATAAATTAATAGCAAATATGGATTTATATGCTTATTCAATACTTAAACCAGGTGATTTAAATCGTTCAATGACACCAGCTATTATTTATTCATTAAACATCGAAAATCCAAATGATTATCCAATTGCTATTGATTTTATGTATAATGTACCGTTATCAGTGCAAATTGATCAAACAAGACTTTCTAAAAATATAATACAACAAATAATAAGTGATACATATATACAATGTATATCATTTTGTGATCAAAATAACTTATGTGCTTCATGGAATTGGCATATTGTTAATAATCAAAATACATGTTTGCTATTAATTTATAATCAATTAATTCCAATTTACTGACAGGATATGATCCATAATATCTAATAGTGTCTATACCTTTGAAATTATGATTTGGATGTGTACGTATTAATCGAGTATGATTTTCATTTGTTTGTAAATTTTTTAATCGAATTGCTAATAATGCATCATNTTCAGGTCTTGTTTATGGTATTGGAGGAAAACCAGGGGTTACATCACATTATGGTTTTCATATGGTCTTATGGCATTTACCATTTGCAATTACAGGTCAATATACAGATTTATCGAAAGGTATATTATTATTTTCACCTAAATTACGATCACCATTTATTTTGCCTGTACTTATACCAAATATTCTTGGGTCAATAAGTGCAACTCCAACATTAAATAGCCAATCATCGTATACATTTACATTAGCAATTGGAAATTTATCTTTGAATCTACTTGCTATTAATAATGTGAAATATCCAGGAAGTATTCATCTAACAGCTGGACAATCGGTACAATGGATTGGATGATTGATCACTGATGATTAACATTCATCACAATTATAATTAAACAAAACTTTTTGTACTTTTCATTTTTAAGCAATTTTCTAACGATGTAGTAAGCAGTATATGTGTGTTTCCTTCACTTTGACTATAGAAATAAATGATTAATATTAAAAACATTCGATTTAAACGTATATAGTTAGTAAGAATTTTATCTTTTATTTAATGAAAAAGATAAACGAACATGTAATCAAATCTTGAATGCTTTATGAAATATATTCGATAAAAGCGAAATATATTTCTGATGCAATAGATAACTTGATTCATTCTTATGCTTTATCAAAATATCAGATAGATGAAAAGATATTTATTCCTTTCACTAAATTTCTTACAGATCAATGTCGATTAAGATGGCAATCAATACTGATTCAATTTCATTTTGATTATAAAAATATAAAAAATTAATCATTTCTTTAATCCGCTTTGCAATCTCATACAGGCAAATTTTGTTCTCTTAGTTTAGAAACAAAAGACATATTTATTGTTCTTTGCAATTCAATTCATTACTAAAACTTTTTTTTATTATTACTATAAAAATCAAAAAGTAGGCAGCTTTTAAACAATTATTTTGTATGAAAAATTATAATTCAAATTAGTGCATTCAACAGTAAGTTTATTATATAATGAAACAAAATTACAATATCAAAAAAAGATATTAAAGTGAAACTCTTACAAAACTTGTGTATTTCTTTGGCAAACAAGTTCACACATGCTAAATTTAACTTCACAAAGAAATGAGAAGTTATCATCAAAAAAAAAAATTTTTTTAATCTAAAAGAAAGCATTTAATGTTCTATTATTGCCGAGTAAAAAATAGCACGGTTTGTGAAATAATACTTGAAATTTATCTTTACATATAAAATAATAATAGGTTCTCTTTGACACAGTTCAAAATATATATAAAAATAGAAGAAAAAATACTGCAAATAATAATGCTAGAATTGATCTAAGATGGTTAAGGCGATTTATAGAAATGGAAAAATCTCGACTAATCGAAATCATGAATAAAAAATTATTAATATCATTGCCATTTGATGATAAGAAAATGGAAATTACTGTCTAAAAGAATTTGCAAAAAAGCCTTTCAATGTCTTCAATGAAGAGATAAAAAATAATTAAATAGATCTTATTTCCAAATAAACAAAAAGTATATCATTCTATTCTCTTATCAAACAAAAAAAAATTTATATGATAATCAATNTTTTTTTTAATCGAATAACTTACAAGATTTTTTAAATATTCAAATCCAGTTTTGTCGTCTTCTTTTCTTCCGCTCGATAGTAACTATAAACATGATTACAATAGAATGTATCAGTATGTTTATTTATTTACTAATCAATCATAGGAAACAAAAACTTAATGAAAAAAAAATTTATATGATAATCAATGAAAAGAATACATTTGATTCTCTATGATGTCATTAAAATAATGGCGTTAGCGAACTGTTTCGTCTTTTTCTTTTTGTTAATTTTTGTAAAAAGAAAAACATAGAATGCAATTAGTTATTGTTTAAAATCGCAAAAGTTTTCTATTTTTCATGGTGTTTTTTACAATTTGATAATCTTTTTTTTAATCGAATAACTTACAAGATTTTTTAAATATTCAAATCCAGTTTTGTCGTCTTCTTTTCTTCCGCTCGATAGTAACTATAAACATGATTACAATAGAATGTATCAGTATGTTTATTTATTTACTAATCAATCATAGGAAACAAAAACTTAATGAAAAAAATATTAGTGAAACTGCCGCTTACACATAGACTAGTATTTTGTTCGACCAATAGTATAATCAAAATGACCTAAAGGGTCATGATCAATAGGAAAAAAACAGCACAATGCAAAGTAGATGTCTAGTAAAACACTATTGGAAATGAAAGCATTAGAAACTTGTCGTGACATATCTTTATTATTTTTTATTTGATACTATCAACAAAACGAATAAAAGCTAGACAAAACCAGAATGCCATCTTCATTCTGTTTATCTCTTTCTTCTGCATGAATAATCAAATTCTATTATCTTTCAATAAAATATCACTTTTTCATGAAGTATAACGTCAAATATAATATAGAAATCTCTATTTTGTATATATGAAAATGTTGTTTTGATTTGGTTTTTGTATATATATATATATATATTATATATATATAACTAATCGAAACGATGGAAGAGAAGTAATTGAATACTAATTGTGTGACGCATATCGTAATGAGACCACAACATTCTTTATTCTTTTTCACACACACACGCACGCATATAAAGAGCGAGAACGAACGAATACAACATACAACATAAGAAAAAAAGAAAGTAATATTTGCACGGCTCACTGGGGAACAGCTCCATGTTCGAGTAATACTTCGTGTCCATCATTTGTAATATGTGCTGCTGCATTTGGATCATCAGCCAATTTAATTAAATCGACGATTTCACCTTTTTCATAGGGTATTTCCAAAAAACTATCACTCTGTTTTAATGATGGTGATCGAGCAGGCGATGTATCTTTACCAAAAATAGTTGGAGAAGAAGTATGAATTGGAGTTTCTTCAGCATCCGGTGTCGATAGCTGTTGTGCTAGATGATTGGAAAAATCAGCTATGTGTGTACTTAAAATGATTGACGAAGGATCAGCATCAATTGAAAAGCGTTTGGCAATCGGATGTACAGGATGATGACGATCGAAACTTGATTGAGTGGAAAGAATTTTTGTTAATTTTTTTGTTGCTGTTCCACTTGAAGAAGAAATAGCAGTAGCCGGAGGTACTGAAACAGTCGGAGAAAGACGAGAATCATTTGTATCACTGGTCGGTTTGTCTTCAGGAATGATTAATGTTGGTGTTGTAGAGGAAGAGGAAGAGGAAGAAGACGCCATCTAAATTATTCGTCTATAAAAAACAACACAAGTTAATCGATTTTTTTTTTAATGCAAAGAAAACTTGTTTTAAATTTTCTATTAACTTGTTTAATAGTTCTACTTGAATCAATTGATGGCTAAGAAACAAGAAAAAAAGAGATCTCTTATACTATTTCTTTTTTTCTCATTTCTATTCATCCGAACCGAAATGAAATTGCACTTAAAAATACTAAAATTATACTTTTTAGAATGAAAAAAAGCAAATAATACAAACTATTATTTGATGAATGAAACAATACTACGACACAATTTACCTCGATATTGCCAGTGCTGACATGTTTCTTTGACGCAAACATTAGTGAGCAAGTAAACGAGAAAAAAGCCGTCAGATGAGGGACAACAAAAACGACAACGTCACTATTCTCTATAACTGACGTATGCGCAAGTTGTATGAAGAACACAGGAGAAATGATAGACACAGAGAGAGGGAGAGAGAGAGAGAGGGAACGAGGATCGATGACGACAACAAACATAGTGGAAGAGAAAGAATGGAAAAGAATAGAGATGAAAGAAAAAAAACGCTTGAGTAAGAAAAAATAATACAATAATGATGATGAGAACACATTCATAGGACCGACGACGAGAATCGCTGTTCTCCGAGACTCTCTTTCTCTATTCCATTCGCTTTCAAAAAGACGAGAATAACAGTTTAGAGAGGAAAATACGCAATTGGAACAAGTAAAAAGCATTTCGAGAAATAATGGAAGAAAAAAAAAAGAGATGTACGTGTGTGATTTGGATGCATTTGTTTTATGATCTTTGTTCATCGACGAAGCACAATGTTTTTAGTTTCTTGAATAATTAGAAATGACATTTGAGAAAAGACTTGGATAAAGTTTGAATGAACTAAATCGAACATTAGTATGCCTTGAGAACGGAAGACAAATTCTCTTGTTTTTTCTTCTCAATTGCTTATCATAAGAAAGAGAAAATGCCATGTAATAACTTTAGAAAACGAGAAAAAAAAGAGCCAAAACTAGTTGATTGATTTACATTTTCCAAAAGGAAGACGAATGCCGACAACTATGAAGAGAACAGAGAGAGAGATTCATCGAAATAGCGCGTAAGATATGAAAAGAAAAGAAAATATAAACACTGTAGCATGGTAAAAAAAAACGTGCACCATTATCCAGCTTTATTTTTACTATATATAAATCAACGCTCTTTGCAAACGACAGAGAAGCTAGAACTTTCTCACCTGTTTATTTTGTTCATAATTTACATAAATTAGTTTGATGAACTCAAGAAAAATCCTGTTATATCAATCCGTTTCTGTAGCAATATAGCTGTATTAGTGGTAATTTATTTCCGAATAAATTTACCTAGGTTATTTTGCAGGAAAGAAAAAAGTATCCTTTTATACAGCACACCAACACATACATACACGCAAGCAAAAAAATAAAATTAAAAGGGAAAAAGACACAAAGAGTGTGAGAGAGAGCAAACAAGACATAGAATAGAAGAAGAGTGAATAGAGTACACTGTTATTTTTAAAAATTGTTTAATGTTATACAAAAAAAATGATGGTATCCGTTATTTTTTTCCAACTATAGTAACACATAAAAAGAATAGAACAACAAAAAAATGTAAGAATCTCAATAATTCCCACGAGTGAAGAAAAGCAACGACCTAAATACGACTAACACACTGAAATAGGTTATTCATCCGAAAGAAAAAAGAAACAAATGAAAGAAAACGTACACACGAACACCTACTAGTATAAATATATTGCGTTGGTGATTTCATTTTGTTTGAGTGTCCTCTAACAGATATGAATAATTTGTGATGAAAAAACGTATCATAACTTTGTAAAATTGAGCCTGAATCATTAATTTTACTAATTGCTACCAACAACACTTTTTTGATAATTAATTCAGAGAAATAGATGACGAAACAGGTTCTTCCATGCTTGAAACGGTTTTTTCGATGATTCATCTTTATATAGGATTGGGTAGTTTCATGAACCGTTAGAAATCATCAATAATGTACATGACAGAGTGAAGCAGAGGTTTTGTCAAACAACAAAAAGAAATGTAATAGAAAAATGGCGTTTTGAAACAGCTGAAATATAAAATCGATCTCTTTCATATTTTATCAATAATACATAGATATATATATATACAGATAGATAGATAATGTCTCGTAGTTTGCCTTATCGTCTTGAATGTCCTGAAAAATGTCTACAAGTTCAAGATGAAGCACTTAATTCAACATTTTTTATTCTAAGACAAACAGGTCCAACAGCTTTTGTTCTTAAAGAAGATGATGAACGAATATTTAAAGTAGTTATAATAAATAGAATTTTGATTATATAGACATTTCATGTTAATTAGGTATTTTTGGGTGACCAACATCAATGCACTTGTAATGTATTTCAACGAGATCGAGACTTATGTAAACATATTTGTTGGCTTCTATTAAAACGATTTCGTGTACCAAGAACTAATCCAAGTAATTAATAATGATATTGACAAGATACTTTCTATGCTTATATATAAATATATTTAGTGCTTTGGCAAAAAGGTCTTGTCGAACGAGAAATAAATGAACTTCTACGTGGTTTAGCACGAGAGGATGAACGAAATAAAACAAGTCATGATAATAAACCAAAAGTAAAAAAGAAAAAAAAAATCTTATATACTGTATTAATTAGAAAGTTTCCAAACGTATTTTTTTTTTAATCTTAATAGTTATTTAATGATACGAAAAGATTTAAATCATCTTTACAATTTTTTCTGCGCGTGTACTACAGAAAAGAATTGAAAGAAAACAGACTTTTGATACTCATTGATATGATCTTACGATTCCTAGTTATTGATAATTATATAATTCGGTAGACTTTTCGCTAGTATAAATGTATGATGATAAAAACATGTTTTTAAAGACATTGTCATTTTGGATTTGATAGTAATTAAGTAGTTAATTTAAATGAGACAAAAATTAATTTTTCCATTTGACAACAAAAAAAGAAACGTAGTATAGAATACTCTTGGGATTATTCATATATCATTTGGATCTAATCTTAGCATAATCGATGAGTCAAAATTTTGTTCTTGTCATGAATGACAATACTCTCTAAAGACGATAAAGAAAATTGTAATTTTTTACATTTCAGAATAATGATGAAAATGATGGTGATGGTGAAGTTGAACAACGACCAATCAGTGAAAATGATGTATGTCCTATATGTCAAGAAGAATTTTTAATTAAAAAATTGCCAATTACTTATTGCCGGTTTGATAAAAGATTAAAACTAAGCATAAGAAATTAATTCAATATTTAATTTTTTTTTTTTTTTTGTCAGACATGGTTGTGGTAATAATGTTCATGTTAAATGTATGAAAGTATGGCTTGATCATCAAGTATCAACAGGTGAAAAAACAGTTAAATGTCCATTATGTCGAGAAACATTTGGTACACCTGAACAACTTAAACAAGAATTTCGGTACAAGCATTTCATTTTTGTTTTTCTTATTAAAAATAAGAATTAGTATTCTCTATTTTAAGTACAAGTGGTGCTCAACAAGCTGAAAAATCATCTATTCATTTAGGTTATTCATGTCATCGTTGTCGTGCATGTCCAATTACAGGCAAATGTTATAAGTGTACGACATGTCATGATTATTTCCTTTGTCAAACATGTTTTAATTTAAATATACATAATGAACATCATTTTGATTATCGAGAAGTAACGAAAAAAAAAAATATACAATAGATTTTTTATTTTCTTAATTTAATAAATAAATTTTATTTTATTTAGAAATCATTTCAACGTTGGAAATTAGCAACAAGAGAACATTTAAATGCATTACCTAATGCACTACATCAAATGTTAGCAAATAGAGAAATTACGGAAAATGATTATGATATTCTTCTTCAACTTGATAAGTAATTAATGCACTGAAATATTTGTTGTTATTTTTTTTTATTTCTTTTTGTTTTGTGCAATCAAGTGCTCAAAATGCAGCAGTTATGGGTATACCTGAAAATATTGTTAAATCAATGCCAACTGAACGTGTACATGAACGAAGTCGTTTATTACAACATGGTGAACAATGTCGTTTATGTTTAAGATCTTATCAAATAGGTGAACGTGTTCGACGTTTACCATGTCGACATAAATTTCACATTGATTGCATTGGTAATTTAAAGAAATAAACAAAAGTTACTTCTATTAATTTGTTATTTTTTACTGTGTAGATGGATGGCTTTTACATAGTCATCCAACATGTCCAATTGATGGCCAACTTGTATGGAGTACTGAAATGGATAATGAACAAAGAGAAGCAAAACGGTAAAATTTAAAAAAAAAAACAAAGAAGTTTTTCTTTGTTATTTAATATTAAATTAAATTTATTAAATATATATAGTGGCGAACGAAAGTTTAGAGCAGTTGTATTTTTAAGCTTTCTTCTCGCTGATTATTATCAGTAAGAATCTCAAGAAATATTCGTGTAGTTGAAAGGATTCTCTGTTAGGATTGGTAAGTCCGAAGACACTAATAAAGTTGTTAGGAAAAGAATCTGCGGAAAATCAAGACTCTCAAAACAAGTTTTCTTACTTCCATTCGAACTTTTTGGGAGAAAGTTTCATTTCATAGAGCAAATAATTCTGAGCAAAATCAGATATTTTCACTGCATGCCATTTACAAAAGGTTCCAAAAGCATTTTTTTTCTCGTCTTCTTATTGAGAATTTTAATGTTTTTGTCACGTTCTATTCTTTGGAGCCTTCTATAAACTGAATTTAGTTCAATGAAGAAAGAGTACGAGAAGATGAAAGATATCTCATCATACTCAGAATCATTTGCTCTATCAAATAAAAATATTTTCCGAAAAGCTTTGAATGAAAGCCAGAAAGTTCGTTTGGGGCTCAACTACACAAATGGCTTTTGAGATTCTTGCTAGTTATTACTATTGAGAAGCAAATATAAATATAGAATTACTTTAAACTTTTATCCACCACTATAGTTCTGCTCCTGTTGCTATTCGACACTCAACAAAACATGTCCCTTCTTCTGGTTCATCCTTACTGTCTGTTGATATGGGTTTATCTGTTACTCCTTATCAAATACGACCAATTAATGTACCAACAACGAATGATCTAAATCAAAGATTTCGACGTCTTCATATGCGTGCTCCACTTCGTCCATTGATAGCACCAATAACGAATGAATTTCCATTATCTCTTGAAATAAATGCTTATAGTTTAGGAAATCGACAATTATCAACGAATGATGAAGAACGACGACAATTATTATTATCATCACCTTCATTAGTACGAGATGAAGTTCGACGAGTAAATATTGAATTTAATCAAGATTTTACATTACCACCAACTATTATTGGTCGTCGACTGCTTGAACGTAGACGCTCAAATGCTAAATAATGTGTTTGCTCACATTTACAGTCTATTGTATACGACATATATTTTTTTTTCTGTTTTTTTTTAGTTATTATTTTTGTTTTTCTTCTTTGGAATATTTCACATTTGTATTTGAAAAATATGATATTATTGATAAAATTCAAACGAACCGATCGAAATTTCACTAAAGAAAAACCTATCGAATCATTAATCTACTTCGATTTCAAGATAATATATTATTCTGTATTAATATATTAGCTTTAATTAAAATTATTCAACAAGAAAAAACATTAATGATTAAAATAAATTGTTTGCTTTTCGTGATTCTTTTTGTTTCTATTCATATATATTAAAAACATTATCTCTATCGTGGTTAACTTTTCATGAAAAGAAAAATAATAATTCTTGATGATCACTTGACTTTTATTTTGTAAAAGCTTTTTTTTTCAATCTATCTATGGTGCTAATTGTAAATAACCACTTCTAACATTAGCACTACATTTTTCACGTGCTTCATCAGCTGTTTTTGATTCACTACCAAGTTGTCGACCAATTTCATTATTTGTTAAATCCATAACACGTTCATTATATGGTCCTGTCGTATTATTATCTTCATGAAGATCAGCAACTTTCTTTGCTTGATCACGACCAATACTAATTGTCATTAAAGCATTCCAATAGCAATGACGAAAAGCATCACCAATACCATTATGTAATGTATCGGCTGGATAACTCTGTCGAGCTTCCGCTGCAGCATTATCTGCATCAGTTTTAGCTTTAGCACAATCGAATGGACCAACAAGAAATACACATTTGATACCTTCTGTTAATGTTGATCTAATCATAATTATTATAAAACGATAAAGAAAAAAATAAATCGAAGAAGTAAACAATGAATTTTACCCTCGTGGTTCTCCCCATGATTTATCTATGACTGGCGACGAAGGTGCAGCTTGAATACAAGCAATCAGAGCAAGAACAACAATTACAATAAATTCCATTGATGTCTTTTTCTTTTAAATTCGATAGTTTTGAAAAAAAAGTGTAAAAAAAAACAACGTTTTCGAACGTTTTTATACCAGTTTTTTTTTTTTTTGTTATTTATCGGATTGTTGTAAATTGATATGCTTTTCAAATCCATATTTCATTAAAATATTAAAAGATTTAAAATAAGCATTCAAAAAAAAAAACAACATTGAAATTTGATAATTATATTCAATTAGTTTTATATTTTTTTTTCTTTTCACATATAAGATTAAGCAGTATACGACAAAAAAAAAACAGAGAACAAAATATCAATTGCAGACGAACAACAAAACTTTTTTTTCTCTCGAGACCAAAAGAATTGAGTAATATATAGCTACATAGTAGCTACACATTTATTCGTTGATAAATAATTCTATACATAGAAAAAGAAAACAAAACGAATAGTTAGAGAGAATAGTTCATAAATTAATGAAATCCACTTGGATCATAACGTCCGAAATGACTTCGATGTCTAAAACAAAAAGAAAGAAAATTCTTTTGTTTATTCAATAAAAATGATTCTCATTACCGAAAAGGTTCAAAAGGCATATTCATTGGATAATAATCATAAGGACGATCATCAGAAAATTCATCACCACCAAAATATGGTGGAGGAAAATCCATTTCAAATGTACTAATTCAATATTTAAATAATATTTTTTGAAAAAATAAAATACAAACACAAGAATACTTACTTATAACGTGATGATGGATAACCGTATGGTAAACGATCACGAAGACTAAAACCTCCACCTTAACAAAAAGAAATATTAACTAAATAATAATTGAGAAAGAATTTTTTACCTGGATAACCAAATGTATTTAATGAGAATGGATAACGATGACTAGAAGATGAACTAGGTCGAAAATTTGCCGTACTACCTCGACGAGGCCAACGATCCTAAACGAACGGAAATAAATAAGATGATTTCATCAACATTTTTAATAATATGTCTCAATTGAATTTCTTTCCTTTTATTTTTTTTAACGGTACTGCATCGATTAATATATTTATCATGAATAATACTTAAACTTCAAAGAATAAAAGATCGTCTACTTTTTGGTTACTACAATATAAAATTAGAGTTTAATCGATATAGAGATTGATAAAAAAAAAATACTTGATTTACTCTCATTTTGCATTGTAGTGATAAAAAGTAGATCGTCTTCTTTTCTCTGAACTTTATGTATTATTCATGATAAACATATTAATCAATGCAGCACATTTTGTACTTTCTCTCTATTATATATCATTTATTGACCAAAAAAAAAACGAATTACGATAAACTTAAGCAAAAAAAAATTCAATAGCACCATCTCTGCGAGATTGAAATACGATGTAACTGTTGTTGCTAATCATAGGAGGATTGCTTTATTCTATCCATTTTAAAACAAATTTCTCCTTCATCTTTTTACTTAATCCTTTAGAAACATGATGAGGAAGTAGTTCATATATTATAATGAGACATTATTCATATACGAACTGTGATCGTATATCAACAACGTCTATCACGGTCTGTGGCGCTTTCCAGGGTAATGTTTGTTATGGTTTATGGAAAAAAAAAGAAAGGATAGAAATTCAATTAGGATAGATTGTAAATAATTTTTGATTTTTGTTTTTACTCTATCAGATCCTCCATCATTTGATGATTGAATTGTTGGAAGTAAATCATTTTCATTTCCATTATTTCCTCCATTATTATTATCATTAATATTATTATTATTATTAGCTGATGATGAATTTGTTGTATTATTTCCACTTCCATTGTCATTAAATTGTTTTTCAAATTCATCAACATGCATTGATGGTGGTCGACTTGTATTTAATGGACGATTACGAAAATGATCTATACGTCTTTGAATACCATTTGTTGTTGTATTTGTATTAGCACCACTAATTCGAACATTTCGACGATTATTTCCACGCATTGGTGCACTCCATGGTGTACGACTTTTTGATACACTTGTTGTTATTATAGATGTATCTACATTGGATGTTGGTTCAACTGTAACTGTTCGTTTCTTTGGTGATGATCTTTACAAGAAAAGAAAAACAGAAGAAAATTAATGTTAAATAAGAAGATTTTATATTTTTAAATAAATTTTTACTTTCGTTTTTTTGTTATTTTATTAATAATTTCTTTTTTATATTCATCAAAGAAATCAAATGTTCCACAATATTTACCAATAAAATCTTCAAGATCACATTTAATCTATAAAAATACAAGAGAATTAAAAAAAAAAAAAAATTTAATTTAAAATATTTATGTTTGATACTTTTTCATTTGTTTCCTCTGGATTTGTTGTTGCATCATCTTGTCCATAATCAACGTCATCAAGTAATGATGGTGTTGGAATTCCAAGCCAATAAAGTTCAGAGCTTCGTTGATCATCCGCATAGTCATTAACAATTGTATATATTAGACGATTTTGAAATTGAATATCAATTGATTCAGACTTTGGTAAACTTATTTCATTCGTTGGTAAAGTTTCTATTTAATAAAGCAACAAAAAAAAATTTTTTACTAAGTATTCTCTGTAATTTATGTTAAGTTAAAATGGGAAAAAAGGATAATCTATAGGAATAATATTCGATGGTTCTATAAACTACTCAGAACTGGAATCTTGTCTTTGCTACTGAATTGTACAATGTAAGAAAAACAAAAGACACTCTTGATTCAACTTCTAAGGAAGTCGAGTTGTTAATCTCAGCAAATTACATAGAATGGTCAATACAAAAAAAAAAGACTTATCACCTTATGAAATGTAATTTCAACACTTATAAGATCTAATTTTTGAAACAATTTGTTTTGCCATAGATACGATTAAGAAAAACAGTACTAAATAAAATTCATTTTTTTTTGAATATGTTTCCCCATAAGGAGAAATAAAGAAGAAATTTATTGAATATAAAAGTCATTCAGAAACAATATCATATTTTCTTGATTTTGATCTTTTCCAAAAATCCAATAACGAACTAATATTACGACCTGAGATATTCAGACTACATTGCTAAACGTTCACAGCTTAATACGCATGCATAAAAATCATTTTGAATTATTGCTAAATTTCTACTATAATTAAAATATCTGTACAATAGAAATATTCCATAGGTTTTTGCCTAAAGGATGTATTGCATTCATTTTGTCATTTCATTATTTAAATTCGTTTTCATTTCAATCAATTATACGCTGTAGTTAGAATTTTAATAGCTGAAAAAAATGTCTAAATTATTAATAAATTTTGGTTTCATAATGAGAAACAAAGTATAATCTAATAAAGAATAAAATAATAATATACGAAATTTCAGCTCAAAAGTAACTTTTGGTGAAAACTTTTCTTGCTTTCTCAGGAAAAATATATCGTTTCACTATAGATTTCAAATTCTAATGAATTTGTTGTCTGTCATCAATTATGACGGAGAATTTTCAAAATTCAAATATCTCTGTCTAATACGTTTTTCTAAGCTCTATCTACGTATTACAAAAATAATTAAACAAAAGATAAATTCTAGAGAAGCAGAAATAATATTGCAATACAGAATAAATTTTTTTGAATCACTATATCACTATGCTTTAAATTTGCATTACTATTACTAATAAGCTTCATAATCTTCATTGTATTGAGAAATGTGCAGGTTCAGTAAACTGTTCACTGAAAACTCACACTGACTACATTGGATAGGTGTTCACTGATTTACCCGACATATACATACAGTTTGAATGTTGCAGTAAACACCAATGCAATATAGTCAGTATAAGGGAAGTACTACAAATATTGTCGTATTGTTTTTTGTATTAAAACTGAATTTCATAGTATAATAATGAAAACTTTTCTCATATCATCAGTATCTATATGACACTATGACAACAATAAGTAGATAAAGATAGACATTGAATAGGAAAAATAATTCCAGTTTCGAATGATTTGAAGTCATCGGAAGAAACAAAAAGAAAAGCATTCTTCTTTAACATCTAATTTTTTATGTAAATACAAACCTTGTTCATTTTGATTTGTTTTAAGTGATTGAATAATACTATTAGCACGTTCAAAAATTTTTTGTAATGTTTGAACACATTGTTGATCTTCTTCATTTTGTTCTAAACTATCTAAATTACCACCAATTGTTTGTTGTTTATTTTCATTTTCATGTGTACCAGATGAATCCTAAAATGAAAATGATGCAGAAAAAAAAAGAAATTCGAAAGCAAAAATAAAATATTATCTTACATCATTAACAACGGCATTAATTAAATCAACAAATTTTTCTAATTGACTTTCATTATTTGGTGAAACACCAAGTAATTCACGAAACAATGATAATGGTAAACATTGAGTTCGAATAAAACTACAGAAAAAAAACAACAACAAACTTTATTCGAAATTTAAAATTTCTTTTTCTACTTACATTGAATCTGGTATATTTTCAATCGTCATAATTCTTTGTAAAAATATCATTACAGCTGATACAGCTTCAAGATAATCTGGTTGTTCTTTATCAAATCGAAGATCAAATTCAGCAATTAATGTACAAAGTACTTCTTTATTTTGCATTAAAGCTCTAGATGAGAGAAAAATTCCGAAAATAAACAAAAAAAAAAAGAATATTATTTTTGTTTTACATTCGAATCATTTGTAAACCAAAATCATGTTCAGCAAGTGATATCATTGTTCGAAGTGCCATTGTTGTTTGTGTCCATGTTTGTTGTTGTTTAGTTGATGAAAGTAAACGAAGAATATTTATTAATATAAATGATAAAAGTTCTTGATTTGGTAATGCATTAGCAAGAATTTGTAATGGATTATCTGAAGATTTTGATGATGAAAGACATAAATTCACATCACATAAAGTTTGAATAATTGACTAAAAATAAATAGAAAAATAAAAATTGATTTGTTCTTATTATTTTATCTACAGGATTTTCCAAAAGTTTGTTAAGAAAAAAAAAAGAGCAAGAATAACTCTTGAAAAATT